AAATCCATGATTAGATCTGTAAAACAATTGTTAAAAAGGATGATAATTGATGTTCTCGAACATTTTGCTGTATCTCGTGGACTTGCTCTGGTCTAATTTACTCTGCTCCTCTTAGCCCAGCACTTCTACCGTTCCAATGCTCTCCTTCTTTTTATCCCCCACCCGTCCATCTGATCATAATCCGATCACTACTAAACCGATCACCACACCCCCATCTACCCCCCAAACACACCCAGCCCATCATAATCCATCGTTGCCTAGCCTTGCCCAGTCCGTCGAATCGGTTTCACAGTTTCACCTTCCGATCGTGTCCCTCGCCGCTTTACTCCTTCTCCCTAGTTGGTTGCTTTGCTGACTTTTCGGTGTTGTTTTTTCACGGCCTCGTCTCGAGCGCCTGGCCTGTATCATCATCGGTCCGTCACGATACGTGAGGTGTTTCGTGATACGAGGGTTCGGTTGTGATGATGTCAGTGAGGTAGTAAGGGCGGTGAGAGGGTTTGTGATAGATGGGCTGAGGGGTTGTAGGCTGTGGGTTGTGTAGGGCGGAAGAGGGGGGGGGGGGGGAGGAGAGGGTGAGTGTGATAGTGATAATAAGGGAGAAGAACATCTAACTACGTGCACGTATGAAGATAAGTAAGTATTTAGTTAGTTAGAGAGAGAGAGAGAGGGGGGGAAAGGGTGTTGAAGGTAAGTAGAGCATACTAGATAAAACCAACAGATAGCTATTCGACAAAAGGTGGACAACAAAATCTTCTCCTATTCCATTCAACTTGCAAAGAACGGGATCAAGTACACCACCCTTCACGCACACCACTATCAAACTCCCACATCAACAAGTCCCGCAGAAACCAATCGATCCAAACATCCCCATTCCTACATAAAAACCCGCATCACCTCACCATTTTCGTTAAATCTACTGCCCCTCCGGTCCCTCAATCAAAATTTTAATCCCCTTCCCTCCCTTAACATCCGCAAACGCGCTCTCCGCATCCTCAAACTTGACCTTACCAGTGATGAGTTCCTTGACGGAAATACGCCCGCCAGCAACGAGATCAATAGCAGTTTGGTAGTCGCCCGAGCCGTAGCGGAAGGAGCCCTTGACGTTTAGTTCTTTTGTGCACATTGCCATGATGGGGAAGTTGATGTCTGGTTTGCCCATTCCGCCCTTTGTGTGTGTTAGTAATGCGTCATAGATCGGGTTTGAATGGATGATTGATTGAGAAAGGGAAAACATACCTGAACATAAGTTCCACCCATACGTAGCGCATGTATCGCAGTTTGAATACAAGGCTCCGCACCCGACGCATCGATGATGACATCAGCGCCCAGTCCGAGATCACACTCTTTAATCATGTTTTGTGCGTTTTCCTGGGCGCTAACTCGCGCCGACTTGAAGCTGGCGTTGGCTGCGAACTTGAGGGCGAACTTGAGGCGCTCGTCGTTGATGTCTACGGTTACAATCTTCTTTGCGCCGTATGCTTTCGCCACGGCACAGCATAGGAGACCAACGGGTCCGGCGCCGAATACAACAACAGAGTCGCCGGGCTTGATGCCAGCTTGTCGTGTGATGTGTACGGCGACGGCAGTGGGTTCGATGAGTGCGCCCTCCTCCATGCTCATGTTTGAGGGCAGCTTGTAGCAGTAGTCCTCGGGTAGGACGTAGTACCGTGCTAGTGTGCCGTCGTATGGTGGTGTGGCTGCAAAGGCCATGTCGGCGCAGAGGTTGTACTTTCCTTCCTTGCAGCGTATGCAGCGGCGGCAGGGCACACCAGGCTCCATGGCGACCTCGTCGCCAACTTTTAAGCTCTTGACTTTGTCGCCGACTTTGTGTACGATACCTGCGGATTCGTGGCCGAGGACCATGGGCTTCTCTACGACGAAGTGCCCGATGCGACCTTCGACCCAGTAGTGCACGTCTGAGCCACAGATACCAGTCCATCGTGGTCGGACAACGACATCGTATGGCGAGGGAAGTTCAGGAATGGGTCGGTCTTCGTAGACGACTTTGTTTGGGGCTTGAAGAATGAAGGATGGGTTCTACTGTATATTAGTCGCGAGTACATTTGATTCACGTTTTGATTGTCGTATAATGATGAAGGCACATAGTGGGGTTATGGCGGGGCAAAGTCGTACCTTCTGGGTTGCTGTTTGTGTCGCCATTGTGATATGTGTGTCAATTGTACCTTTTCGAAAAAAACTGTTTTCCAAGAAATTGGGAAAGTGAAAAGGTAAGAAGCAAATTGCAAAGATTCACATAAAGACACGCGCGTGAAATGCTAATGACGAAGTAAAAGGTGGATCCCAAGCTACAGCTTCGCGGCTAGCTATCCCGGCCTGGTTAGGAGGCTGCCCCTCCACCAAAGGCGGGAGTCTGGATGCATTCAAATTATCCGTACAAATTATCCGGCGCTTACATGACTGTTCTTGGAAGCTCATAGTGGATATCTCGGTCTTGCTCCGAGTCACTGGTCGCTATGGGTCGCCGTGTCTATGCGACTGACCATGCCAGATGTCGCGTGTCCAGTGCGTGGGGGTCTTCACCGCGTGGCCTTAGCCTACCATAACCGGTAATTTGAGAGGGTAATGTACGGAATTGAGCGTTGGTATTTCAGCCAGTATTCGAAATTTTCCTTGCCCAGCACGACCACCAACAGGTCACGAGTGATGCATCGTCTTGGTCCTCGCTGTCACCGGACATGCCCCAGTCATCGAATCCCTTCTCTTCGCCTTCTTCCACTATCTCCAGACCTATCTCGAGCATGCGGCGGCGAAAGTCCTTGATCTCAGGCAGATAGGCATCTCTATACGGAAACTCGACAATGACCTTGGCATTGGAATCCTCAGAGAGCCAAATAGCGATAGTATCGACCAACATGCGTGGATGATCGGGAGAGTACAGCGAATCCGCTGCAAGAATGACGGGAAATTTTGCGGGAATTGGGCCAGCATCACCAATTGTATTGTCGTCCTCCAGAGGTTCACAAGAGGTAGGATTCATCCAGTCGAGAATGGCTGTACGGGTTGTTCCACCATTGCCTGCGACTACGTCAAGGTTCAGCTTTGAATTGTGCGCTAGGTTCGGGCAGATGCTGGGTAGGTCGGTCAGAACAACGTCTACACCTAGGCCAGCCATGGCAAGCCCTACTAATCCAGTGCCCGATCCAAGCTCAAGAACCTGAAGCCTCTCTTGGGCGTCTGTAGGAATCAGCCCGAATGTGACCAGACGCTTCGCCAATAGATAGGATGCAGCCCAAGTTTTCAGACCCAAGTCGTCGCCAGTCATGGATGGCTCGTGAATGCTGAGTTCGAAAGGCTCGGAAGAGGTAGGTATGCGGAAAGTGCGCGACATGGTGCCCATGGCAGATCGTCCGGACCGTTCACTGAGCCTCGCACTGGCCTGATCCCATATCCGCTCTTTGGTTTCCTCATCCTCTATCCACCGCAGATCGCTACTCACGATGCTTGTGAGGTAGCGCGTGACGCCTTCTGGATTGACCTGTACCGGTGCATTCTCGTCGCTTTTGTCTGTCTTGTTCACCTGGTCCCAGGAAGGTGGAGCGGTTGTAAGGAGTTTGAGGGTATCGAGGAGGGCGTTGGCGGAGGGCTTTGAATATATCTGAGGCAGGTCTAGGACTGCGAAATAGCTTAGCACCAATCTATGTGTATACATACGATGCAAAATCCCATACCATCAAGCATAGACATTTTGAATGGAATCTTGCAGATGCGCGATGCAATTATTGGTAGGTGGGGTGCGGTACTCACCAATGTCCGTGCGGGGTACAGAAGTCTACCAGCGACCAGTTTCTTTCCAGCTACATGTTTGAATCCACTCAAGCTTTCTTCAGTGTCGTCTTGAAACCGTAATAGGCCTGGTCCATATCGAATTGAAACTCGCGCGCCTGTTCGTCGCTCAACTTCTCGGCTGCCCGCATTTGATTCAGGGTGATGAGCCACTGCACAATCTTGCCCTTGCTCTCAAAGTCGACATCGGTGACCTTGTTGACGGCCTGTATAATCTCCACGAGCAGGGGATGTAGCGTGTCCTTTTCAACTAGCCCAATCTTGATGGCGTCGAGTAGGGTGATGAAGGTCTCGGTCGCATTGACGACAAGCGTCGCATCAGCAAAGTCGCCCTGCTGAGCTGGTCTTGATGGTCCCTGTTCGACTGTGGCCGGTATACCAACGCGTAGTCGTTCAATAGCTCGAGGGCATTCCATCTGATCTCGTCAGTCCGACCCATATACTTCCAGCTCGTACGACGTACATGCCATTCCTTCGCAAACTGATCCAAGTCTCCAAATGCTCGCGTGACAGTCTCATTGGCAAGATTGGACTTGTACTGCTTCATTAGGCGACTGCATGTCTCGGTGTAGTCGGCTTCGGTGATGGAGTCTTTTAGGTAGGCCTTTTCAATGGCATCCAAGGTAATGATTATGCTATAAATCTCGGCCAGGGAGTCGTATAGGTCTCGTTCGGCATTGTTCGTAGACAGCTTGGCCTCCTAAGTGGGGAGTGAGCATGCGCATGCGCCAGCACGACCAGGCGCGTCATACCTCGTCAAGATTGATGGTCGCAGAGAGATTGGAGCGCGGTATGTACGGCGTCGGCGCATAGGCGAGTTGTCTATTGTTGTACATGTCGAATTGTTAGCGGCTGGTCGCGGTGAAGTGCAGCTCTCATCCGAAGTTCATGGCACATGTCGGCGATGCTGCAGCGTGGGGAAGCGCTAAGGTTGCAGGGTCCTTAGCGCTGGGAACTTTTTCGAGACCCAAGTTTTTCAACCTTCAGCCGTCTTTGCATCAACACTCGTCGCTACCTCGAAAAATACCGCCGCGATGCCTGTTTCAAAGGCGACCAAGAAGTTCCAAAAGGACAAGCTCGGCGATGTCATCAAGCGTCGCAAAGATGTCGCCAAAATCAAGCAGAGGAAGCAAATGGACACCAAGAAGAAGGAGCGCAAGGCCAGAGACAATGCGCGCGCCGACGACCTCGATGATGACGCCAGCAAGAAGCCAAAGACCAACGGAGCTACCGACGACAAGCTTGGCGAAATGTCCATGGACCAATTCTTCCAGGGCGGCTTCCAGATACCCGAGATGAGCAAGAAAAAGACCAAGCCCAAGACTGGCAAGCGAAAACGGACGCCAGTCGACGAGGATGCCGATGAGGGCTCAGATGAGGAAATGGGGGATGCTTCAGTAGGCGCTGACGAGTCGGCATCGGACAGCGACTCGGGTGACGATATGGATGCGCACAAGGAACAGCTTGCCGGACTGGCAGAGAAGGACCCAGAGTTCTACAAATACCTCCAGGAGAACGACGCAGAGCTTTTGGACTTTGCCGAGGATGCCGACCTCGCAGAGATTGATGCTCTTTCAGCCAGTGAAGATGAGGCCACCCCAAGAAAGAAGAAAAAGGTCGACGTAGAGGAGAAAGACACTGGCAATGAGCTCACAATCAAGACTGTGCAAAAGTGGAAGGCTTCGATAGAGTCCAAGCACTCTCTGCGTGCCATGAAGGAGGTTGTGCTAGCTTTCCGCTCTGCCGCACATATGAACGACGAAGACGGCGGAAAGAACTACAAGTACTCCATCACTGATGCGAATGGTAAGATGTCTGTCAGATTACGTTGTATATCAACTAACGGTGTTTAGTATACCACCAAATCCAGGTAACTGCGCTTCAACTGGTACCCAAGGTGCTACAGCATCATTTGCCGGTCAAGGAGAGTGCCGGAGGTAGAATGTAAGTCACATACCAGAGTCACCAGTATGTTTGCTAACAACAACAGCCGTGTACCTACCGATTCGAAAAAGTTCCGCACCTTCACACCATTGCTCAAGTCGCACGCCGTCTCGATACATCACTCACTTGAGAACCTATCCGATGCGAAGACAATACAGATGACGCTTGAATCTCTGGAATGCCTCCTACCATACATTCTCTCGTTCAAAAAGATTGTCCGTGAGGTGATTGCCTCTGTTGCATCCGTCTGGGCAGACAGTGCGAACAAGGACGAAGCCAGATTGTCGGCCTTCCTCGTACTGCGACGGCTGGTAGTCATCGCAGACCCAAGTATCCGCGAGACTGTCCTGAAGCAAACGTACCAAGGTCTCGTCAAGGGTGCAAGAAACACCACAGTCCACAACGTTGAGGGCATCAACCTCATGAAGAACACTGCCTGTGAGCTGTGGGGAATCGACCCAACAGTCGGCTACACATCAGGCTTTGGCTTCATCCGCCAACTCGCCGTCCATCTACGTACTAGCATCACGAACAAGACCAAGGACTCATACAAGACCGTCTACAACTGGCAATACGTCCACTCACTAGACTTCTGGTCCCGCGTCATCTCCCTCCACTGCGAGTCTCTCCACGAAGCAGAATCCGGCAAACCCTCGCCGCTCCGTCCTCTCATCTACCCCGTCGTCCAAGTCACCCTCGGCGCCATGCGTCTGATACCAACATCGCAATACTTCCCCCTACGCTTCCAGCTTGTCCGCTCCCTCCTCCGCATCGCGCAAGCAACATCGACCTACATCCCGCTCGCGCCCGCCCTAGTCGAAGTCCTCAACTCGGCCGAAATGAAGAAACCCCCCAAACCCAGCACCCTCAAAGCCCTCGACTTCTCCACAAACATCCGCGCCACAAGCGCCTATCTCCGCACGCGCGTCTACCAAGATGGCGTCGGTGAACAAGTCGCCGAACTACTCGCGGAATTCTTCGTTCTCTGGACAAAGAATATCGCGTTTCCTGAACTCGCCCTCCCCGTTACCGTCATGTTGCGTCGCTGGATCAAGGCCACGACGAAGAAGAGCAGTGGGAATAAGAATACAAAGGTTTCCTCGCTTATCTCGCTGCTCGTGCAGAAACTAGAGGCGAACACTCGTTGGGTTGAGGAGAAGAGGTCGAAAGTCGATTTTGCACCCAATAACCGCGCGGGCGTTGAGGGCTTTCTCAAGGATGTGGAGTGGGATAAGAGTCCCCTCGGTGCTTTTGTCGCTGGCCAGAGGAAGAGTAGGGCGGCTAAGGCGAAGATGCTGGATGAGGCGAGGAAAATGGAGGATCGGAAGAGGGAGGAGGCTGAGGCGGAGAAGAGGGGTGGGAAGGCAACGAGAGAGGAGTTTGGAGAAGCGGATAGTGAGAGTGAGGAGGATGGTGAGGAGAGTGAGGTCGATGAGGAGGATATGGAGATTGATATGGAGGACTTGAGTGAGGGGGATTTGGAGATGGGGGGAAGTGAGGACGAGGAAGATGATTAGTAGATGTGTGGGTTAGGTGGTGTTTGTATCGATTAAATCCGCTGGTTTCTTACAAGACGATGAAACAAAGTAGACACCCACATACAGTCATGGGTATTAGCGCTCAGTCTCGTCTTCTCCCATCTTGTTCGATCATTTCCATTCACGCATAAACCACACTGAGTGCCAAAGCAAAAGATGCATTATTCGTCCTACGCCGTAGCGATTCTCACATCCGAGAACTTTTTACCCAGATTCTGACTGAGACACTACACTACATTACACCAAACGAAAGGGGAGGGGTATACCAAACTCCGCATACTCCATCTAAACTCCATCGACGCTGCAGAAAAGTCCCTTGAGGAGGTAATGGTTGTAGAGATACAAATGTCCTCATCCTCGTCCTCGTCCTGGTTCTTGATTACCATTGCAGCCGCCATCAATGTATCCCACTTCCGAGAATCATCTCCAAGGCTTGTTGTCAACTCGTGGTGGCAGGGCGGCGAAGCTGACTTTCTTGGCTGGTTTCTTCAGCGCGACTGGGAGTGGGTTGGCTTGAATAGTTGGTTTGGGCTGGTTGACTGGCTTGCCCCAGGTTGGTCTCGGCTGGTTGGGCTGGTAGCTCTGATAACGTGTCCTTGTGGGAATGACTTGATCGCCTGGCTGAGTCTGGTCGACTGGTTTTTTCGGCGCGACTGGGAGTGGGCTGGGCTGATGATCTGGTTTTGGCTGGTCGACTGGGTTGGACTGATGCTTTGATCGAGTTTGATCGCCCCAGGTTGGTCTCCGCTGGTTGGGGTGATAGCTCTGATAACGTGGCCTTGTCTGGTTGACCTGATCGCCTGGTCTTGTCTGGTCGACTGGTTTTACTCCTCCCCATTCCGGTCTCGCCTGATTGACCTGAGAAGCTGGCCTCGCCTGTTCGACTGGCTTCACCCCCAAATCCGGTCTCGCCTGGTCACCCGGTTTCACCGCCTTTACCCCCGAACTTGGTCTCGCCTGCTTGACCTGATCACCTGACCGCGTCTGCTCAACCGGCTTCTTAGCCACAAGCTCCCTATGAGACATCCAACCCCAGCGCCGATACGTCCTGTCCACCCTAAAACACACACAACTTTTGTAAGCAAGAAAACAAAAGAGAAGGAAAAAAACAAGAGATCAAGGGTCCCATGACCCGTCATTCAAACATCTAATCAAACAGTACAAGGCAAAACATTCGAAAAATCCAACACGCACTCAAGCTTACCACGCCGACTCCGCCTTCAACTTCTCATACGCAGCAACCTCCCAAAGCGTCGGCCTCTTCCCTTTACCTTCATACCGAATCTCGGCCTGGCCCTCACACCGCTCCAGCGTAAACCGATGCATCGCCGTCATCTGATCGGTCACGACAACACCAGTGACAGTGTACAAGCCATCATACCTCAGCCCTTTATCCGGGCGATACGGATTCTTCTTCGGGAGGTGGCTGGAGCGTAAGACGCGAATGGGGTTTTTAACCTTGGAGGATAGCAACATGAAGTTGGTGACGTCTGTGGGACAAAAGTTTTTTCCTTCGGTGCCGCTGTATTCGATGACGTCGCCGTTGTCCGAATCCGTGGTGCTGTGGCCGCCGGAGAGTATGATGGAGTATGCGCCTTGGTTTTTTTCGCCGTAGATGCCGCCTTGTGGGTTGCCGTGGGCGCCGTCGCGTAAGGCGCACAGTTGTGTTGGCCACCATTGTCCGAGCACGAGATCACCTTGGCCGAAGTATTTTGCTGAGGCGGGGAATTTCTCGCGGTACGCGGGTGCGATGCGGTCTCCGGTGTGGGTGTTGCTTTTGGAAGTTTCGATGCCGCGGAGTATGTTTTGGTCGAAGTCGCCCTTGTACCAGCGTGTATACAGTTGGAAGGCGTCTGATTTGATGTCATCGGGGAAGTTAGCGGACGCGGCGAAGATGAGGGGGAGGCCGGCTGTGGGGGAAAGCATGTTGGATTTGCGGAGGAGATAGCATGTCACTGGGAGTTGAATCTCAGCCCTGTGGATGTAGTCTCGGAGGTTATCATATTGGTTGGCAAGTTGAGTGGGGTTGGCCGTCTGGCATTGCGCCATGCATGCTTTGAGGCCGTCGAGCGTGGCCAGTTCTTGGGGTCGCTTCTTGGAAATGGCTTTCATCTTGGCGTGCTCAAGAGGGATAGATGTGTACCAGTCTGGCAGTGTGGACCGGACGGGATACTGCTCTTTTCCGTCTGTGGCGGGAACTAACGAGTTGCTTGATGGGACGGGGACGAGTTTGTTGTTGTCAGTGGCCATAGTATCTGGCATCTTTGTCGATTGTTCATGGAGTACAGTTGCAGTTGTCGTTCCAGGTTGCAATGCGCCTGTGGTTGTAGACTGTGCTCTCACAGTACTGACAGGCAAGTCCTTCGTCTGCTTTTTAAGACCCTCGGCCTTCTTCTCTGCCTCTTCCTTCTGCTTCTTTCGTACCTGCTCCTTCTTTGTACGCCGTTCTTCTGGCTTCTGTGCCAGAACCTTGCGCTTTCCAGCCTTACTAGTAGCTTGTGTGGTGATGGCCATGGGCTTGACTTCTAACACAGCTGTTTTTCCTTGCGCAACGACTCCTATCTCTTCAACCTGTGCGGTCTTGAAAACATTCCAGTCCTTGTCTGCACCTAGTTCGGACAACTTGCCCTGCAGCGCGCGCATCTTCTTTTGGTGTCCTTCGCCATTCGCCTCAATCTCTGCTTTGCTGTTCTGCACCTGCTTTGCGAGCTCTTGTGGCGATTCGCCTGCTGCCTTCTTGGCCTGTTCGGCGGCAGCGAGCATCCATGCTGGCGGCTGAAACACAGCTGAGTCTTTACGATCTGACGCTGCCATGTTGAGGTGAATGGCGTGTCCCAGGCCGTGTCTTTTATGACAAGTGAAAGTGGCAACGAGCGTTTGTTGTCGCTGTTGTCGAGATATCTGACTGCCACAACCACGACAAAGTGCGGGGTAAAGAACTGATAAGCGTTGAATGATGAATTTGAAGCCAAAAGCAAATGATCTGTGGAACCTGATAGATACTGCTAGACGTTGGTCCGACTGCTACTCGCGCTGTGACTCAGCTCTCATGTGACGCTAAGATCTGTCGTCGGCGGTATAATGTGGTGCTTATTGGCAATATGCGATTTATACATGCAGACGCGTAGCCATTCTTTTCTTAGACTCGAAAGAATGGGTGTGAGGTTTACACAAAGTTTCCTGGAAATGCTCGCCATAACAAGAATCGCGCTAACCATCCCTGCCCCACTGCGACTAGTCCCCACTACCCGACACGCGATGAAGGGGAAGAATCGTGCTGCCTACATAGGTACGCATATAGTCATGCAAAAACATCTTACAGGTCTTACATAATACATAGTGAAAGGGTTAGTGTTTTAGTAGGCAGCCGCTACAATGAGCAGACACATGCAGTTTTCACGCGAACATTTATTGTAGTTATCGCAACTATGCCACCACATAAAAAGATTTAGATGTTAAGACAGTTCCATGGCGTACATTAAAACACTTCCATTACCACGTGAAAACGTACCTCCCAGGCGGCTTTCAAATATTACTGAACTAGTCGTATGTTCAACAGATATACCACTACATCTACCAAGACAGTTCCTCGCCCGGGTATGTCCCCTAACCACAAATACACCGCTATGCTAAAATCGCTGTTCAAAAGATCCGCACCACAAAAACCCACTCAAAGCAAAAACACTCATTCCTTGACAATCTGTCCCAATGCCTCCCCCTCAACCATCGCATCCCCCGGCCCCTTACCCCCACTACCCACCCTCTCCACGGGCGAGCCCACCAAATTACCTTCTTGCTCTGAATCTGCACTTATATTAGTCCAGCCGCGCACACTATCTTTAGTCCGACTGAGAATACTACTATCCTGCGCCACACTCGCATCTTTCACCGCCGTGTCCTCGAGTTCCAGGTCTGCAGCACTAGTATTAGCAACCCTAACGCCATTTTCACGCAGAACCTGTAGGATAGCGCGGGTATTGAGTCTGAGAACGCGCTCGGGTTCTTTTGCGCCAAAAGCTTTGGTTGTGACCCAGGGGAACAGGACGCCAAAGTCGCTTTGGGAGAGATGGGCAGAGGCGATGGGGTAGAACATGTGTGGGCCGGGCTGGTTGGGGTAGGGTGATTGCGAGGCGGGAGGTTTTGCGATGATGCGCTTCGTCTCGCGTAAGTTGGAAGACCAGTTGTAGAAGCCTTCTGAGGCGATTGCTAGAAGGTTCTTGCCGCCGTTCTTGGAGTCGTAGCATGGCATGGGCTGTGAACGGAGCCAGGCTGTGTCTGGGCTTTGGATGGGAAGCGTCCATAAGTCTAGTAGGTGGACGCTGTTGGCTGACGTAATCTGACGGACTATGCTCGAGTCTTCGGTTGGTGTGTATAGTGGCTTGTAGTTTGGGATCTGTGCCTTTGGTCGGTAGTACACTGATTTGACAAACTGAATCATTGTACACGCGCCGAATGAGTGGCCGGCAAAGCCAATCGCACCCGGTTGATGTACGTCCATTAGGTTTGTAAACATGTTTAGCATGTTCTTCCCCTTTGGCTGATCCTGTGCGACATTGGTGAGTTTCCGTCCATCGTCGAGCTTCAACAACGCATCATGTATCATGCCCAGCTCCCATAATCGTATACGCAATTGTTCGTTTCTGGCTTCGTATACCTCGGTGCTCGGGCTATGGGCAATATTCCTGTATGGTACACGCTTGACCTTCTCCTTCTCTTCTGGCGTGTGGTGGATAGACAGAGGTGAACTACCGTCCCTGTGATCTGCCGCAACGACAACAACCCCGTGGCTAGCGAGTGAACCACAAATGTGCGAGTATGCGTTTCTAGTACCGCCTAGACCATGTGAAAACATCATGACGGGCCATCTATCGGACTTTGGTGGGGGTGCGAGGAGATCAGCGTTTTGGTGTACGGGCATGGTGACATAATATAACAATTGCGGCATTACTCTTGGTATAGTTAGTATATGTCGCAGACCAGACAGAGGATATGCTTACGATAAAACACCAGCAAATGCATTGCTAGCACCCAAAAACCTAGCATAGGCACTGACGTATTCCCTCTGCGAGTTCGGTATCCATTTTACAGCCTTCTCATTGCTGTCCTGCTTGCAAGGATAGAATATACGAAAGGCTACCGTTGGCAAATCCATAGGTGGCGCATTGGCAGTAGGACTCTCCAATTCACTTGTGGGTATTTCTACGTCTATAGAGCCGACCTTGTATGGTCCCGTATGCGCCGGGAAAGCTGGTGTAGGGTTCAACCGATGAAGCCAGGTCATATCGGCGGTTGCAAGCGAGCTCGTTGTTCCTATCGACGGACGTGAGGGCAAAACGCGGGTAAGAGACTTAAACGCGCGTGAGAACGACAGTGTGATCGGTCGCGTGGGGTGTGAATATATGATTGTTAAGCAATGATCGTTATTCTGCGATCAAGTCAAAAGGGGCAACAGATACGAGGCCGTGAGAATGAATGGCGAGAAAGCGAAAGCAGACGCAAGTAGACTTGGGAAAGTAGTGACCGAGGCACATGGCATCATGGAAGAAACATTCCGGTGACGCAAATGCCGATGCTAACGTATCGCGCTACTGCCAGGAACCCTCTGGAAGCACGCGACCAGACAAGAGCTGGCCTGTGACATGCATGCTGTGGCGAAGCCGTGGATGAGAAAGCCATTGTTTCGGACGTGTTACGGCCGAAAGACGTAGAGTTTCCCCGTGCTATAGACTCTGGACAATGGAAGATGTGTTCCTTTTTACGAAATCCTCGGAATTGCCGATATCACGAGTGTCTAGATCGCGTCCGCGGGCATCTAGGGCAACGCGTTGTTGCGGAAATGTTGATCGCGTGGCGGCATACAAGGATATCCATCGGCGTTTTCGGGATGACGACACGACAACAAAATCCATATGAAACCGCGCTAAGCCGCAAACCTCAATATCCGTCGGGCGTGTCTGACATGTGATCGGGGCCGTAGTGCTCCGAAAAGCGTAGTACACACCAGCAGTCATGTCAATGGGACAGTCACACATACGAACATACTGCTGAAATCAAAGAACATAGACTCTTCAATAAGATAAGTGCCAACAACATCTCCAATTACTCTCCCATCTATGAACCGAAAAGACTCTGGGGTATGTACGCTACATGTGCAAAATAAATGACCAAGATATCAAACGCTCATTAAAACCGATCGACAATAAAAAGATCAACACTTCAAGGCATCAACAACACCCACCTCTCCGCCTCGGGCCACCTAACCTAAACACATCTTCCCACTCACTCAATCCACCCGTCTTCTTGCCTCTTCTGCGATACCTCACGCCTTCATCGCCAAACCCACTCTTGACACTGCCACCACCGTCATCCCACCCCAAATCGCCGTATTGTATACCACTAGCCGGATTGTCTGGATCAATCTCGCCCAGTTCAATCTTTGTGAGGATCATTCGTGCTAGCCTGTTAAACAGCTCTTCGACATTCTCCCCATTGAGCGCCGAGACCTCCACCGCAACCGGAATCCCATTCTGACTCGCCCACCTAGATGCCGTTTCGGCTGGGACTTCGCGACCCTCTGGCGCAATGGTATAGGACGCGTGTAGATTGGCGTTTAGACTTGCCGTGCGACTTGATAGCGACCCTGGCGTAGGCGGCGAAAGCCCGCTTTCTGAGCCGGGAGTACTGCCATAGCTATAACTCGTGTACCCACCACTATGACTGCCCCCACTTACCCCTCCTTGTACTGGCACACCGTTCCCCTCTCCTTCGACATCGTTCTTGTTGCCGGCGAGTATGATGGTGATATCTGGACCCGCCAGTGCTCTTGCGTCGTCGAGAAAGGTTCGCAATTGCTCGAAGCTGCGCCAGCTACTCACATCGTATACCAGTATTGCGCCAGCTGCGCCGCGGTAGTAGGATCGCGACACTGAGCGAAATCGTTCTGTACCTGCTGTATCCCAGAGTTGCAGTTTTATTCTTTTGCGCGAGCTAGACGATAAAGGAGAGCGACGGCGATCGGCGATGTGGACGATTTTGGAGGAGAATTCTACGCCAATGGTTTGGCTCGAGAGGACGCGCCCTGGAGGTGTATTAGTCAGGCGTCTGGTGGTCGAAGGTAGAGAGGTATATACATTCCGACTTTACGAAGCGATGGAGGAGGCAAGACCTACAAATCTTGTTACTCGTTTGCGCCGGCAGTATAGACACGTGCTGTGCCTTATCGTCGCTGGAACTTACTTGCCTGCTCCACTAGGTCCTAAGAGTACCACTTTGGCCAGGTAATCATACATGCTGCCCAGCTCCTAGAGCTGGTGTCAGCACTGCACCGCAAAGCTCATATCTTGTCCATACCTACTTGTAAAGGCGGCTCACCGCTCCTCGTCGACGCATTCGAAACGGCTCGATTCCGCCCCATTTTGACCGTCTTCCTCGTTTGGGGGGTACGCGGCGATAATCTTCCGGTGGGGTTCACGGTCGCATCTGTCTTGCGAATACTGCTAAAAGCTACGCAGCGTAAACAGAGTCAGAAGTTGTGCAACGGCAGATAATGTTGCGGTGTTGTGTTGTACATCTTGGCTTATCTTTGTGACGCTATTTGGCGGACCCTGGCCGCGGCCCGCGACGTCAATCACGCGCACACGAACAACCTACCACATTTGTTCGGCAAGACATGGGTTGCCGATTTGCAGTCCTCGCCTTCTTGCATATCAAACTTACTGTTGCATAACTATGCTTTTGGTGACCAAAAAAACCCGAAATTACAAAAAGGGGCACATACCGGCATGAAGGTCAGGAGGTATTGACATGTGAATTTCGTCAACTAGAAAAATGCGAACCAAGAGCTATACAAGAAGATCGACAGGAGACTAACAATAACAGCGACATGTCAACAGACAAGGAAATTGTGGTATCCAAACGCTTTACCAACAGGAATAACAACAAAATCATGACAACCACCTGTTTCAGTGGTCTCCCATATCCCTGAGCGGCATGTAACTAGTCTCTTCCTTATTCCTCTTCCTGGCCGCCCACGCATCACTAACCCAATCCTTGATAGTGCTGAACATGCCCTTGCCGCCCAGTTTTTCCATCTCCGCTTCCCTGTCGTCGATGGGTGCATTAGGGTCCAGTACACTAACCTTCATCCAGCTAGGTCTGGTCCAGAACTTGAGGTGCAGAGAGCTAGCAACGACGCTGACGGAAGAGCATGCCATGGCAGCACCCGCAGCCATGGGATGCAACGAAAGGCCCCAGGGCAGGAAGAAACCCATTGCAAAGGGGAGTCCGACGAAGTTGTACATGCAGGCCCAGGCGAGATTGAGTTTGATACGGAAAAAGATTGCGCGGCTGAGGACGAGCGAGGCGGGAATTGCGAGAAGGTCAGTGTTGGTCATTAGGACGATAGAGGCCGCTTCCATGGCGACATCTGTACCACTTGATAGGGCAATGCCGATGTCTGCAGCGGCGAGAGCGGGAGAGTCGTTAATACCGTCACCGACCATACCAACGACCATACCACGAGACTGGAGATCTTCAACCATGGCTTTCTTGTCTGCAGGAGTGGATGAGGCGTGAACATCAGCTGCATCAATACCAACTGCTGCTGCGACGACAAGAGCGGAAGCTGATGTGTCTCCGGTAACGATGGAGGATGATATGCCAAGACGAGAGAGAGCAAGTACTGCAGCGCGGGCCGAGGGCTTAATGGTATCGGAGAGGCTCAATGTACCGGTGTAGGTGTTGCCAATGGCAGTGTGGATGGTAGTGATACCAGCAGAGCGTCCTCGTGAGTTGGCATTTGTGGATGCGGACGTTTCTTCTACAAAGTGCGGGACGTTGACACCTTCTGATGTCAGGAAGGTGGTGTTGCCGATGAGAACCTTGTAACGAGTGCGCTCGCGAGACATGGCTGCCTCGACAGTTGCAGTAATACCCTTTCCGACAATGGCTTCGAAGTCACCCACAGCGCCATCGAAGCTACCATCAGGTCCCAATCGAAGGTGGTCCTTTGCAGATAGAACGATAGCCTTGGCAATGGGATGCTCAGAGCCCATTTCAGCAAGTCCAATAAGGGTCCACCAGAGTTTCTTCTTCTCGCCCTTTGCCCATTCGCCCTGGATGTCGGCCTTGGAGACACTCATCTTGCCAACGGTAAGAGTACCAGTTTTGTCAAAGATGACGTGGTTAATCTTGGTTGCAGTCTCCAAGGCGGCACCGCCCTTGACGAGGATACCTTGCTCAGCACCGACACCAGTACCAACCATGACAGCTGTTGGGGTGGCAAGACCGAGAGCACATGGGCAGGCAAAGACAATGACAGCGATACATAGCTTGATGCACACCATGAACTTGCCGCCGCTAGCGTGGTCAAGGAAGACCTTGGGTGGGTAGGGAAGGATGTGACTTAGGACCATCCAGCCAATGAACGTGGCGAGACCAAGAGTGATGATGATGGGAACGAAGTAGCCGGCAACTGTATCCGCAAGTCGTTGAATTGGAGCGCGGCTAGTTTGAGCTTCTTGGACAAGGCGGACAATTTGGCTGAGCTGAGTATCGCGGCCAGCTCGGGTGACAACAAATTCCAAACGACCAGCGCCGTTGACGGTTCCGGCCATGACAAGTGAGCCCTTCTTCTTCAGAATCGGCATAGCTTCGCCAGTGACCATGCTCTCGTTGAGGTATGACTCTCCACGAGTTACTGTGCCGTCGGCTGGAAGCTTGTCACCAGGTCGAAGGATGACAACGTCGCCAACTTCAATGAGCTCAGTAGAAATGACCCGCTCTTCGACAGCGTTCCCATCAATGGACTTGCGATCCAGCTTCTCTTCGGCGACATCCCAGCCCTCGGCAGCTTTCGCAGCGGCGATGGGGTCGGCGTAGATAGTAGTCATTGATGGAGCTAGTGACATGAGGTTGGACAGTGCTTTGGAGGTCTGACCCTTTGCTTTGTTCTCAAGGTAACGGCCCAAGCTGATAAAGGTAATCAACATGGTGCTGGTATCGAATAGTGTGGTCGGTTTGGTGTGCGGAGAGACGAGTAGGGAGACGAGCATCGAGAAGACGCTGAAGAAGAATGCAGAGGAGGTACCGAGAACTACGAGAACATCCATAGTGGGTGCGCCGTGGCTCAACGACTTGTAGGCAGATACGTAGAAGCGCTTTCCGATGCCGAATTGAACTGGAATGGTAAGGAAGAAGCAGATGACGTCGCCGAGATAGAGACCGGGTATGATACGGATACCGCCATAGTTGAGGAATGGCAGAAACATGGGGATAAACATGCTGGTCAGGAACACAGGCACTGCGAACCATGCGGAGAAGACGACGGCTCGCCTCCATTCCTGGATCTCTTTTGTCTTTGCAAGTGATTCGAGTTGGGCGTCGTTGTCCTCCGAATCAGCCACAAGAGCGTTGTATCCGGCTGCTTCTACGGCCTCCACAATAGCGCGAAGACCGATGATTTGAGGTTCCCGCTGGATGGTGGCTCTTGAGTTGCTGAACTTGACGGTTGCAGATGTGATTCCTGGTCGTTTCCTCAATAGCCCTTCGAGTTCTGCGGCAGCGTTCTCATTGGGGAGTCCATAGATCTTGAGCTGCACGGGAGCATTGTTTGCTGATAAATGTTGAATGTTGCCGTCTACGGACGATAGTACTTTGGCGTCAAAACCCCGATCCTCGATAATCTCCACGATTTGGTCTTCGGTCAGCTTAGCGGGGTCATGGACAAGCACAGCGCGATTGGCGAGTAGGCTGATGTTGAATTGGTATACACCGTCGACGTCTTTGAAGCCACTTTCAATGGCGGATGTGCATGCGCCACAAGTCATGCCTTCAACAGCGACGGTAGTGGTCATTGTCTTTTGTTGTTTCCGGCTCTTGCTCTTCTTGGGCCCTGTTGTCGCGACCGCGGTATCCAGCACCTTTGCGTCAAAACCAACGTCTTCTATTGTCTCAGCCAGTTGTTCCGCCGTTATGATGGTTGTGTCATGCTCGATTACAGCGCGTTCCGAGAGTAGCGATATGCTGAATGACTTTAGTCCAGCTACGTCCTTGAAGGCGCCCTCCACGGCGGAAGTGCATGCACCGCATGTCATGCCGCCAACGGAGAGTGTTGTTGTCGCGATGCTTCCAATAGTTTCCTCCTCATCCTCCGAGTCGCTCAGGAAGTGGTCGTCCGGATGTGGCAATGGGAGATCTGACGATAGCACTTCGGCATCGAAGCCCCTGTCTTCAATGATTTCCCTGACCTCATCTGCTGTGATCAGATCGGGATCATGTTGCACGACGGCCCTTTCCATGACCAGGCTTATCGACACGTTCCCGACTCCCTTGACGCCCTGGAATCCCGACTCGATGGCGGATGTGCATGCGCCGCATGTCATGCCCTCGACTTTGAGCGTTGTTGTCGCCATATGCGCCGTCGTGGTGGTAGTTGGGGGAGCCATGCTGGCTTAAGAGCGCTCCGGAGTGCTCTTAATCTCGGTATGATTGCAACCACAACGTACCAGTGCTCGCCCAAAGATGTCAGCGTGGGGCGATCGATGGAGGCAGTTCCGGACTGGAAACTCGGGCGGCTGGGAACAAAAGCTCCGGACCGAGAATTACACGGCGGTCGCGAAAACAAAGGCTACGAAAGGAAGCAAAGAAGGCCAGCTTCCGATAGTGCAAGATGGCGAGGTTATTAATATGTCGATAGATGAGTGGACTTGCGGCAGCCACAGGCTTCCGGGGCTGATTGCTCAATAAAGCCCAGCGCAGCGGGTCGTCGAAAACAAGCTAGACCGGGTGCGTAAGCTGAGGAAGGTGGACAAGTTGTGGCAAAGTCCCCGAAGTCGATGACAAGCTGTCACGAGTAGATGCGCTGTAAGACAGGCGCAAAGCACTGTCTGTCTAGAGAGTGCCAAACGAGGCTTATGAAATACCTAAACGTGAGGTGAGGCCTTTGTCATTATCTATGAAGTTTCGCGTGTCAGATGCGATTGTGTTTCCTCTTGGCGTACTGAAACGCGACGGACGGACTCCAAAACACCTGCCTGATGCTTAGGTGCGACAGGTGGAGCCTCAGGTGTCCCGAGCTGTATACCAAGCTATCGAAACATATAAGTAGACAATGGTGAATTGCATCGTTGTCGCAAAGGAAGGCCTGACAGGCGCCCCATCAGCAGCCACCAAACCATGGGAATGCATACATCTTATCAACTTATACATGCTGCGCAATGGTGCTGATGGGACCAAGACATTAATCGTATTTCTAAGCGCGAACTCATTGTTTGATCGACCGGCTAAGACACTGGGCACTAATATCGCGAATTTCGCAATCCAAACAAAGTGCTGTCAAGTGCCTATTTCGGGTGCCATGCCCGACAACTGTGAAGCCTTTGAAATTAAGTAGACGGGACTCACGGGAAGTGAAAGGGCTCTCGTGCCCCAAGTAGCGTCCACGCCGTAGTTACGGCGTGGTGGGGGTTGACCGCGGCGGGGCAATCGCGACCGCGACCGCCAAGACTGTACCTCAAGTACGTAGCTGCCTACCACAATCAGCCAACATCATTCCAAGTTGATCTTCTACGTCTCCGGTTGATTATATACACCAAAATCAACCAAAATGGAGCAGACCAAGGCCCTCAACGCGCTCGAGCCCTTCCTCGCCCTCAGCAAGTCGGCAACTTCTCCACGCGCAGCTTCCGACTTGATCGTGCAAGCCACCAGTGCGCCAAACACATATGTATTCGCCGAATTGCTACAGACACCAAATATCCAGAACTTGAGGAATTCAGAAGAGTATAGTTCGCATCTTACACTTCTCGAAATCTTCGCCTGGGGAACATGGGCGGACTACAAGGGTATGGAAAGAACAGCTTCACATATGATTGCATCTTGCTAATGACCTCCAGCGCAACCAAACCTACCAAAGCTCTCAGCACAGCAGCATCAGAAGCTCCTCCTTCTCTCATTACTACCACTCTCGCATTCGCACGAAACTCTGACGTACAAACACCTCATGACGGCGCTTGAGCTGCCTACCCCCCGCGCTCTCGAGGAACTCATCACTACCGCCATCTATTCCGGTCTCATCACCGCCACCCTCGACCCCGCGCACTCGCTCGTCTCCGTCACCTCCATTTCTCCACTACGCGACCTCGCCCCAGGTTCCCTTCCGTCCCTCCAAGACACCCTCTCCTTATGGTCAGATCGCTGCGGGTCCGCCCTAGCAGACCTAGAGGCGCAGGTTGCAAAGGTCAAGAAGGAAGCGCTAGACCGAGAAAAGCTGCGTCGGAAGAAGGAGCGTGCACTTGAAGCAGCCATGCAGGCCAACGACGAGAAGAATAATGGCAAACGAACTGTCACGGGTATGGGTGGCGATGACGCTATGGACATTGACGATGAGGGTGGTAGTAGTAGAACTACAAGGGGCACCAAGAGGGTTCCTGGCAGCTTTGGCTTTGGCAACCTCGGAAGACGATAGAGTTGAATTCCGCATAGCACGCCAGGCTACAACATATGTGCCAAAGAGCAAGTTATGCAGACCGCACAAGGTCTAGCGGCATGCATAGTCCAATTGCGGACAGGAAGATGCTCGAAGGATTGAGGAGTCAAGGAGGGCATTGTGCAAGCATGACTAGCTGCATTCGACTCTAAAGATGAAGACCAGGGTGGTTGGAGCAAGAGCCACACCCTTGCCTAATGTCTGCCAATTCAAGGCATCACAACGAAGACACAAGACAGGTTTATGAACTTGTAAACGTGAATCAATTACGACTATATGCCATACCATGCTATTCCAATCATTTCCACATCTCTCTCTCTCTCTCCATTGATTGCTCGCTCATATATTGAAGATAAAACTCCCTGTGCAGATCTATGTGGTCAAAGTGAAAAGAAAAAAGGAATACCAACCCATTCGCCATTGCCTCCCCACCCCCCTTCCTTCCCTGAAAAAGCAGGCGAGAACAATATCCTCCTCCTTCCCCCAGCCGATGTCATATCTGGGGTATATCTCGCTCGCTCGCTAGCTCTCGATTTCGCCAAACAGAGGGCCAAAAAGCAACGTGGCAGTAATGTTGAACTAACCCCCTTTCATTCTACCTCCTGACAAGAAGGCGAAAGGAGGAGAGGGAAAAGGGGGGAAAGGCAAGAAAAGGACATACAACGCCATGCAGTGCATTTGCGAACAACAAAGAAAAAGCAACAGCCGAACAAGGGGGGATGAAGAACTAAAGTAGAGAACGAAGCAACCAGAGAGAGAAAACAGGCATAAGAGTAATGGAGATAATTGGGAAGAGGAAATTGAAAATGAAATAGAATGCAGTCAGTCATGTTTCTTATCAATAGCGCAATAAAAAAAACGTGTTCCGCTCCATCGCCAACTGTTCGTTTCCCGGTTCGCAACACACACGACAGGTGCAAAAACCCACACGCCAAATTCAGGATAAGAGCGAGCAAACCAGCATGATCCCTTACTCCACCCTCCTCATCTCATCATATCCGCTGAACGCAGGCCTAAGCAGGCGCAGCAGGTGCCTGAAAAGTCTGCGGCACAGCCTCACTCCCCTCCGCCTCAACACTACTCTGATGGATCTGCGCAATGTGCCCAGCCATGCTCCGCAGTGCCTCACGCGTAGCATCGATGTTGAGTTCGCCGCGCTCCGACGCTTCCTTGAGGTATTGCTCCCACTCCGGGTCCATGGGAATGTTTGTCGAGCCCGAGGCTTCGCGGAGGGCGGCGGCATGGAACAGGCGCGCGTTGAGGCTGAAGCCGACGGAGCTGCTGAGGTGGTGGGTGCGCGATGAGGTCGAGGAGGTCGTGGTTGTGGATTCAGAGTCTGAAGGTGAGTCTGAGGATGAGTCGGGCATTTCTGTGTCAAGGTTGTTGTGTGGGGGGAGGGCGGGGGGTGTGATGGTGTGTGAGGGGTGTTGGGGGCGGAGTGGAGGCGCTGATGATGATGGTGTTGTTGTGGAGGAGGAGGTTGTGGCGTTTGAGGTGGTATTATGATTATTGTGCGTGTTATTGTGGTTGTGGTTGTGGTTGTGGTTGTTGTGGTGCGATGAAGATGATGAGGGGTTCTCCAGTTCTTCGATTTCAACTTCGATATCCGTCTTCACGTTTATCCCGACCGCCGTGCTGGCATGCCGTGAATACTGTCTTCGGCTGTCGACCCATGCTCCGATTTCGACGCCCGTTGTGTCGACTACCCGTACGCCTTCGTCGCGCTCGTATCGCTCCCGCGCCCAGAGCGTGCCTTCCCATCTGCAGAAGCCCTGGATCTCGGCTTCCGTCAGGCCTAGCCGGTCAAATGCCTCAAACAGCCGCTTGTGGTGGGGGAACCGGCCCAGCCGTTTCCGGTGCGGTTGGAAGGCGTAGTTGAGGCCGGGGTACCGTGCTTCAATTTTACCACCAGCTCCGCAGCCCCCGACTCTGAGTGTCGAGGGAGCCGTAGAAGTTTGCGGTTTCGATGCGAACTTCGCCAACCAGGTTCTTGGAGAGGTGGGCCGAGAAGGACGGCGGGTCTGTAGGGGATGGCGTTGGGAAGAGTGTGTTGTAGACAAGCACGCTGATGGGGTTTTTGCGATGCATGACTCAAAGAGGTATGTGTATGCTGGGTGGCGATTCCGCGGTTTCTTGTTCGTGGTGCGGTTGGTTGAGTGGTGGTGGCCGCAAAGAAAAGGCGTGAATGCTGCGTTTTCCGCGATCGCTCGTAGCTTGCGCGTCGTTTGAACAAGATGTGAAAGCGGCGGCGGCGGTGGTGGTGGTGAAGGTGTCAAAGGGAAGCGTGGTTGCCGAAATGTGACCAGTTCACCCGCTCCTTCTACCTGACTCTAGTCGTTGCTCAGGAGTCGGCCTAGGTGTGCTGTGTGTCGGTTTGCTGACCTCGGGCGTGACCGCTGTTTTGCCTCTCTGCTCACGTTTCCGCGCCGCTCTAGCTCTCCCACTAGTGTCAGACCGGTGTGGGAAATGATGTACCCGGGTACCTGACAGGTGACTTTGCTGGCCTTGCGCTTGGGGACTCCGGTGGATGGTGATTTGCAAATGCGTGGGAGCAAAACAGGCCGGAGACTGCTGGCCGTCTGGGCTATTATGCAGATCCAGAATGGGGTAGGAGATCAAGGCCGCGTGGTTTTGATGGGAAATTTGGTCGGAATAAGGGTGCAGATGGCGTTTCTGACGAGAATACGGCACGGAGTCGGAGACCAAGGTGCTGCAGTTAGCCGGAACACGCCAACGAAGGGGATGGGCGAGGCGAGGCGAGGCGAGGCGAGGGTGAGGGCGAGCAGCAGGCAGGGCGAAAATATAAGACGGGAATCAAAAGTCAAAGGGGGGCATGCATATAAGCTCGATTCGCTCTCTCACACGCTGCCTTCCAGGGCCCTCACCGCCAGCACATGCGCCTTTAGGCCTCGCTCATTATTCTGGAGCCTCACAGATGCCACACCTGTTGGCAGCAGGGACCAGACCCTGAAGCCGCCATGCAAAGCCCATTTTCACACCGACGATCCCCAGTTTCTGCCACTGCACCAGACCTCGGCCACGCCATCTAGCCATTACTTAACTTGGCCATCCTCGCATAGTCTTGACCTTGACAAGCGCCCCAAACCGCCAAACAGGCCGTCCTCTTCGCTGTCAGTCAGCTACAAAAGCCTGCCTCCGTGTACCCAACACACGATGACTTGTAACGCAGCGCATGAAAGATCAATAGGTCCGCCGAATATCCGGGCCCGCAGACCTCGAACATGGATCCCGCGGGACGAAGCATGCACGAAGAACGACTGGCCCAGCTCGCCGTCCTACAGTCTTCCATCCCTGCTGCTGCTTTCCGTGCTTGCGCTGTTGCCGGCGACTGCTTTCTTTGCCTGGTGCTCCAAATCGCTAGCAATGCAGGGGTGGAAACGGCGTGCAAACTTTCTTCTGCAAGTGCTTGGAGCGCCCACCGTCGATGCGAGTGTCCAGGGTGGGGATGCCCTGGCCTCCAAGCCGGCCGCGTAGGCTTTTCGGTCACGTGCCGTGTATGCATCAATCGTCTCACCCAGCCATGCTCTTACATAACACCATCATCTCAAACCTCCAAAGCTGACGGCTCACCCAAATTGTCTTACCTCGTAGCTCATTGCTCAATTGCCACCGTCTTCCTCCTCGTTGGAGTCCAGGAGCCGCCATCAATCAGGGGCGATTTCCGTTCGAAATAGAGTAGTTCCAAGGCGGACACTTACTCGGACCCCGGATGTGGTCCGGAGTGTGCCGATGATAGTGCACATGGTTTATAGCCACGATTAAGTATATACCTAGGGACTCGTCTGTTAGACAGCCTTGATATTTCACTACCACAGCTGTCAGCCTCACATCCAGGACGACGGTAGCATAGCGCACGGATACAGCATGCCGTGCCAAAGGCTAGTGCTAAGTATCTGGGGATACGGGGCTAACAGCGACCGGATTATACCAGATCACGACTTGCCGTTAAGTGTGCGCTGTCTATCTATTCCGGATGTGCGCCGCCAGGTTGCCAGGATATCCTTAGTTAAGAGTCCGGATGGTTGGTAATGGCATGTGCCAGGGATATGGCTGTATCTTGTACATGTTGAACTAGGCCACTTTACTCCTACGGCGGCTATTCCAAGCTTTGTAGTTATATGTGTCTCAAGCGCGCTGTTACTCGCTGACTAGATATTGTTTCTATCATAATAGGAGACATGAGAGATTGACGGGTTGGTTGGATCTGGGATCTACTAATCCAACCCAGAAAACTTCGAGGCAGATAGATATAGAAGATACAATTTCATTGTTGGGTCTTCTATAATTTTGCTGTCGTGTCAAAGCCTGGTCTGTCTTGTAGAATCGTTGCCGGTCTTTTCGTGGTCGTAGTCCTCCACACTCTGTGTACACCATGGCATACTAGAGTCCAGTTATGTGTTCACGCAATTCTCTAGGAAAGCATGAAGGAAGCGGCGTCTTAACAAGCAACTCCGTAATCTCCATGGCGTAGACATCGACGTACTCGCCTCCGCACACCACGTCCATGATATTCGCCCAGAGGTAAAAGTGGTCGTCGTGGAGTGACATACTTCCACCATGAATATCCTTTTCAATCAATAATGATACAGGCATGTCCCGTCCCTTGAACAACCGGAGGACATGGCAGCCGACGATCCACCTAACGGGTAAAGATGATCTATCTCCAACTCCAAGGCCGACGATACTCATCATTGCTGATTCTAGGACACAGTCAATCCCCCCCTCTGACATGGTTCACATCGAACCAAGGATCCTGGACAGCGAGCATGGTCTTTGAGAGCGTTGCGACCCACTCCTCCATGTAACCAGTGGCGAGCCGGGCGGGAAGACTCATCTTCTGGGTGACAACGACATTGACCATGACCGCCAACTTGTAGGACCGACTGTCTATGACCTGTGCGTTGCCAACGATGTTGTTGTACTTGAGATAGATCCAGAATACCAAGGCGCGTATGTCCACCTCAGTTAGACGGTCTTCAAACGATTGTTGTTGGTCCACAAAATCTCGAAAGAATGGCTGGATGGCGCCGTCAGACGTTCGGAAACGAGCCTCGCTCATGCAGGGGCGTATGGACCGGCGATCTCTGGCAATAAAAGCGGGGATGCGGGGAGGACCGACGTTGGCCTTGATGAAGCGCGAGAAGTACTCTAGGACTTTTTCGGCACTCAGTTTGTGGCGGTTACGGGTGGTCGAGGCTGTTGCATCAGGTGAGGTAGGGTCTTTGGCCATGGGGTTCTCATGAAGCTGTCCGGTGGAGCATTCACTGGCGGTGGCAGTTGGAGTGGTGGGGTCTTTGTTCGGGGGCATCATCGTGATGATTTGGAGGCTGGTGGCAATGGACGCGGCAGGGTCTTTCATCTTGGTATTTTCTTCAGCTGTGACACCAGTCCGAGCCGCAGGGCCGTCGTCGCGGGGCTGGTTTGTCGCAGAATGACCGGCTGTGAATACGTTTGAGCCTTCCATGACGCTCCCGAGTTCTCGATGTAACTGGAGAAGACGGTGACGGGAGATTGTAGAAGATTCGAAACAAAGTAAGTAATTGTGCGCAATTTGAGTGAGCGAGCTAGCAAACAGCGGTGGTGGTCAAATATCCTCTCACCAAGACTTAGACTTCTCACGGTGATTAGGGCTTCACTCTGCATGTGCGACCCAGCACAGCTTCACTAGTCGAGGTTATTTACATCTTTCACATGCTTGATGACGGAGAAGCAGTCGCTTAGTGTGCTGTCAGCATATACCCTACTCTATACTAATCTATCCGCTTATACCCAGTTCTACTCCGGCCTAATATAATCATATCTCGATGATTATGATCTATTCATATTGCAGCTTTGCGATTCCTGCGAAGCTATTGATTCAGTTACAAGTGGGTGGTTGTATGGCGGCCACTGATGGATGCCAAGCCCAGTCACATGATCATCACTGTCCGCAGTGACGAAAGAGAGAGCTCTGGGACCAATTGGAAGCTCGCAGAAGAATACTGACGAAGCAACAGCATGGCAGGCGTATGAATGGCTAGCCCACTGTAAACAAACACACCTGCAGATTGCAGTCGCGTCCGCATTCGCCTTCACGTCTTCTTCACCCGAAATCAGCACTTACAAACTTAAATCTCTTCCAGCTCCGTAGCTCCTTCCTACTCACCTCTTACGACACCACTCTTGCCACAATGCCAGCCCCCGCAGCCATGGAGATTCCCAAAATGATGTCAGGTCCAACTAACCCGTCCGTGTCTAGTTTACTGGCGACTCTGTCGCCTGAGATTCGCAACTACGTCTACGAGCACTTGTTCAAGCTCCACCAACCCGTGCTTCTTCACGACCGCGAGGCATATCGCCACTCTCTGGTTGCTGCACACGGCAGTAACCTACATATTCGAATTGCACATCAGCAGAATGCCATCGCGGATCTAAGTGCTGAAGAAATTGAAAGCATAAAGGGTAAGTTATACAATGCTCCTTGATTCGAAGTTCGCAAATTCATATCATAACAAGCACACACGAACGATATTGAGCACCTTGTCCAAGAGGAGGACTTTCGTCACGGTTTCGGCGAAGGCATCGCACTTCTGCGGTCGTGCAAACAGATCTACCATGAAGCAGCGAGTTTCTTATACGGCTCAAACAGTTTCCTCTTCACTAATGCCCTCAATCAGTTGAGATCAGACCTGTATAACCCGCAGAAGTCCGCGGACAAGTGGTTGACAGACATCGGATCGCAATACTCCATGTTGTCGCGGGTTCAGATTGATGCAGACGGATTTGACTCTGGAGATCGCGCAGGTGACAGAAACCATGATCTTCTACCCGTGCTGAAACACGTTTGGGCGAACCCTAAGGCTAAGTGCGAGCTCACGTTTGCGCGGTCCGGACGATATCCTCAGAGGCTTGGTATTTTCAGCAACTTGCCAATCGCAGCTGGCCCGGCTAGTCATCATTGTCAGACGGAAGTTTTAAACAACTTGCTAATCACTTTGGGAAAGAAGGACGCTTTGAATCTCAAGCGTTATGCCAAATACCCCCAGCTTATGCCCGCAGTCATTATCCAAGAGGAGGATATAGAAGAGGGCAAGCCAATCGAGGGAAAAGTCATGTTCCAGGATCTTTCCACTTCGCTATTCGATAGGAATCCTGAGGGAGGGTTTAAGGTCAACAATAGTGGTGGCGACGTCAGCTGGAGCGAACACGAAGACATACGACTTCCCCTTGGTGTCCTACTCGATGTCGACCATCATATGCGCTCATCTCCAAAGAGCATCACGTTTGATCTTGACGCCAAGAAAGCCTATGGGCTGCAGATGGGACTACGTGGGCTTAACAGTGATCTTGAACATATACTCGATCACTATCAGAGCCCGATTCAAAACGACGTCAGGATTCGAATGTCTACCAATCAGAGCTACACCGAGTTCGCCGGCTTCCAATCTTTGGCGGAATGGGCCAACATTAGCAACTTCGGCAAAATGATGGACAGGATGGACAAGAAACACCGTTGCTATTTGATCCTCAACTTCGACCTCCCTGGCGCCTGTCCGGCTAGAAATCTTCGAATTGGTATCGCAGACCTGTTCAGGATACTGCATTCAAATACGAGGGTGACTCTGATCGTATCAGGATACGATCGCAACCCGCACCGTGCTCAAGTCATTGAGTGGTACGACCTGCAAGTCAGAGCATTCCTATTCATATCTGATCTTCTACTACAGGGTCACCAGTATGGGTGTTTACAATCAAACGTCCAGATCTGGATCAACGGCAACTTGGAATTTGTGGGGGCCGGGTTTGCCGCAACCTTCAACGATCCTTACTTGTGGACCTCACATACTTCTATCAGCACTGAGCAAACAGACCCAGCGCAACTCGACCAACTGTGCTACGAGAAGATCAGACAAGTCGAGAATTATCTTAGCGGTTCAATTGTGCCCAATCTATCACATCATCAATGGCCTGCTGATAGTCTGGTGGGCTTGTGGCTGAAATTGCGGGATAAGCATTGGAGTGATTGGCGCCGGTGAAGCTGGCTTCCCGATACAGTTGATCGAGATATTCGAGAGCCAAAGATGGAGCCAAGATCGTATTCAGTAGCGAAACATTTCGTTTCTGAGTCAGGAAGTTGGTGGTATGTTCGATAGATCGCGGTTGTCAAGCGCGCTGAACGTGCTTTACGGTAGAGCAAGGCTGATGATACCCGACGAGGCCGGACGAGTTGGTATGGAGGAACTTGCGGACATTCTGGATGTGCTTTTGTGATGGAACGAGGGTGATACCCGAAGACACTAGACAGCTTGTCATGAAAAGGGCTTACAGGGTTTTCCGTAGCGCAAACCAACGCACTGGATCTTTTGTATACCTCATGAAAGATTGATTTCTCTTCCATAGACGAATACCTACACCATACCCCCCATCTTCCCACTCTAGCAATTCCTCGCGCACCCAAACGGAAACGGCAAAACAGCCGGACTCTTATAACCCCCTTTACCCACACTCCTCACCCCAAAAATCACATTGTCTTTGTGAATCGTCGCAGAGGTAAGATTATACCACGTCACGTTCCCCACATCAATAACATTCGTCCAATGCGGCTCAATCGTCTCGCGATACAAAATCTCATACCCCTCCACTGGCAATCCCTTGGGCGCATCCCACTTGAACTGGCTGAAATTATCAGACATGGTGGTATTTATACCGACGTTTGTGGGAGAGGCAGGCGCATTGGCTAGACTCCACATGGTAGTTGCAACAACCTTGGCCGCACGTGTGTTGTATTCAAAGTCTAGCCACTGGGTTAGATCACCGTATTGCTTCCCATTGCGCACAGTGACATTCTGGTGCTGTTGGGTGTAATCTTCGTTCGGCTGGACGAAGCGGACACCTGTGTATCCAGCCTCGAGGAACGGGCGGTGGTCGCCGCCGCGGCTGTATCGGTCCAGACGGTAGATGACGCGGACGGTCATTTCGGTCCACACGTTTGATGCGACTTCGTAGATGAAGCGACCGAGGTTACGCGCGGGACTGTCGTTGTCGCCGCCGATGCTGAGGCGCGAGGTCATCGTCGTTGCGTTTTCTGTTAATGGGGTACCTTGGCAGAAGAGGCGGATGTTGTGCGGGTCCGTGGTGCCGTCTTCTGCTTTGGAGTTGCCGACCATGTCAAGGTTGATCATAGCGGCGAGATTGACGGACGCATTTTTGTAGGTTTGGGCGAGGTTCTGGGCGCCGAGGAGGCCTTGTTCTTCGCCGGCGAAGGCGGTGAATACGATTGTGGATTTGGGCTTGTAGTGGGCGAAGATGCGGGCGAGTTCTAGGGAGACGGCTACGCCGGAGGCGTCGTCGACGGCGCCGGGGGCATCGCCTTGGTAGTCGATGGGGTTGCTGTTGCGGGAGTCGTAGTGGCCGCCTGTGAGATAGTATCGGTCCGGGTCTTCGGATCCTTTGAGGGTTGCAACGATGGTGGTGATGTTTACGGGGAAGATGATACGTTCGTTGTCTCCGGGGTACTTGATGAAGCTGTTCCAGTCCACGGTCATCTTACCCTCACTTTCATCCGCCGCCTCTTGGAACTTTGCCGTGAGCCATGTTCTCGCAGCGCCGACCCCACGAACAGGATCCGTTTGGCTAGACAGTGTGTGACGCGTGCCGAACGAAACAAGTTTCCGGATCGTGGACTCGATGTTATCGCGGGATATCTGGGAGAGGATATCTTGGAGGTCTTCATCGGGCATCTGCTGCTCAAGCTGTTTTCCGACAACTGGTAGGGGCCATTGCTCTGTACTGGGATAAGATTGGTGGGACCGGGCATGAAACGGATGAATTGGTGTAGTGCAAGCAATTTGCAGCAGAGTCGCTGCGCAAACAGCAAGGGTAGACGCCGACCGCATACTGAACAAGTGACCTCTGCGTCGTCGTCAAGTCCCGTCAGATGACACACGTCCCCAATCCCGACCATTCCACCTTTTTATATCCTCCCACATTGTTTCCATCCCACTCTTCACGACCACAATTGACGAATGCCGATATCTCCAAACCTCGCGATATCGCAGAAAATACCGTCATCGAAGAAATGCATCTCTTGCTATCAGTACTTGTAGAGATGCCGATCTGCGTCGTAAGCGGAAGCTCGCAAGGCTACCAAGGCGCCAAACAGTTGTGTCGGGAATGGTTCAAATGGCCTAACGCGATGAGTTCCTGCATCCTAGCTTGGCGACAACGGTCGCGAGCGGGGTTCTCCATTGCGGTGCCGCGGCTCGCGGCGGAGGACGATAGCATCAGTCATTTCTTGGATGGAGCGCTATTGGGGCGGGCAGTTGGTGGTTTGTCATCGCTCGTTCGGAGGTGCTGGGTCCATGCTGGGGAGATCCTGTCGTCGTCGTCGTCACGCGGTCTTAGGCGTCCTGGGCGTTACTCGCATCTCCTCATCTTGTGGCTTCTAGCTGTTCATCGTGTCTATCTCGCGATATATTTCGCGACCAGCTGTAAGACTCGACATTACAAGGCTGATATTAACTATGCAAAGGTTATAGTTATTGATCAAAGCGCGAGTGAGATTATAGTCAAAGGGCCGTTCCGCGTCAGACGCTTGGCGGTTATCGTGACGTCAAACCGTTGACTGACAGGAGACGTCTGCGCCAGATATACAAGATTCATCACAAACTTACCGCCGACATGGCCTCTGCGCAGCAATATTTGCGTCTCGGATACGTCTTCTCGGATGGGCAAGATGGTTGCACTCGCACGAAGATATTTTCTGGTCCCTCTCAAGGTACCTAGGTACCTAGTATGCACATGAAGAAGTCATCTAAGAAAGGTCATGTTCATCCAATTGTATCTCCAATGGTCCTGACAGGTTTAGGCGTGCATTAGATGCGCGATGCCTTCGAATCAAGGACAGAGAAAAGTCGGCGATGACTGATGCTGGACGCCACCCGAAGCATGTGGGGAAATTAGTGGACAAGCGACACGGTCTCGCTCGACTACACTCTCGTCACTGACCGCAGTGGTCGTAGCGCCGCTATACCTGCTCTAAAAGCAGGATTTTATCCAATTGTATTACAACCGGCTCTCACGCTCTGCCCTGAAATTCCCCAGATTTGTTTTGACCGCACCCACGTGTTTCTTGTTATGGGCGGTACCGGAAGATCGCTAACGCGAAGAAGAAGGTCAAGTCCTTTGGCATCACACAGCTAAGAGTGAACAGTCACAAGCGAGAAAGCATCTTCGATGCCACATGCGCCGGTATCCACGTCAATCTAAGTGCTCGAGAGCGAGTCGATGGTCACTGGTCAACGTGAGGTGATCTGTTGCAGCGATTGGGTGTCGATCGCGGCGTTGCCAAGTTTCCTCATGGTCAGCAACGGAAATTGAGACGAGAATAGCTGATTCATGTACGTAGTGGATATTGGTTACCACGGAGTATGATCGCTTTTGCGGAAGGCGGTGCAATAGCCTAGCAAGGCGCTTTACCACAAGAACTGCGTGAAGCTAGTGGGGTAGAGCAGTACAAAAGGTGGGATAGATCTGCCTTTTGTTCTTGTGAAACCAGAGGATCAGCATCTAGTTCTCTCCGCAGCATCCTACTTCCTTCGCTTCGTTGAGCTGAGAACCAAGGCTGAGATCTGACTGACGCAAGCTTCATTCGACACGTGATACTTCCTTCGCTACCTCATACTCCCATCAACAATCGTTCAAGATGAAGGCCTGCGCTCGCTCTCTGCTCGCCCTTACGGCCCTTGTTGCTACCACTTTTGCTGCACCAACACCAGAGACCGGTGTCAGCTTCCCCATCACGGATCTCCTCGACTCCGATCTTACCATCAACGAATATGCCGCCCAGCTTGAGGCCAAGAACGTCGAGGAACGTGACCTCACCAAACGCCAATACAACAGCGACACCTACAACCAGCTGACAGACGGCACCCCATGCCGTCCAATCACCGTCATCTGGGCTCGTGGTACTACGCAATCTGGAAATGTCGGCGAACCCAACTCGGAAGGCCCCGTTTTCTTCAATGCCATCGCCGCTGCCGTCGGAGGTGTTAACCGCCTGGCTATCCAGGGTGTCACCTACCCAGCCAACGTCTTCGGCTTTTTGGCGGGAGGCGATGCCGCAGGTGCTACTACAATGTTTAACCTGATCAACCGGGTAAGCACTGCAATATCTCGATTCAAATCATATAGATGCTGACATTCACAGGCTGTCACTCAATGCCCATCCACAAAGATTGTCGTCACTGGTTACTCCCAGGGCGCTCAACTGGTTCACACAGCCACACAGAGGCTTTCAGCCGCAGCCGCCGCTCGTGTCTCCGCCGTTGTAACATTCGGCGATGCTGATCGTGATGAGACTTTTGGCCTTGTTGCCGCCTCCAAGGTCCTCATCATCTGCCACGAGGGTGATAACATCTGCGATAACGGTATCATTATCACCCCCGCGCACAGGAACTACGAGATGGATGCTCCGACTGCTGCTGCGTTTGTTGCAGCCCGCGTTTGAGCATTGTGGTGCGGAATTTGTGGTACCGAGATGTGAAATTAGATATGATATTATGATACCATTCACAAGCAGAACTGCGCGAACATTTTTGCAGTGAATCTTATGAGTGAACCCTAATTCCTTCGTGTGACATGAGGTTATTCACTCGGTGCGAGCATCTCGCAACAAGGTGAGCGTGAGATGATATGGTGCACATCGCGCAGACAACAAGACGACTAGCGGATACTGACTCTTATTGTTCAACGGCTTTTTTTATTGTACATCATCTTCTCTGTCACCTGCTAGAGCGGCCCTTCGCTGGTAGGATTCCGAGATAATGGTAAGAAAAGTGGGGCTGAGGTGTAAGTGAGTCCCAGTCAGTACTATTGTATGAGACTTGGAACAAACCCTCTGCGAACCCGTACACATGAGAACAGATTTCTAATATACTCTAAACTACCCCTCAACTATCACCCCACCTCGTTGACTACCAGTGAATCTTCCTACCGATAGCCTGAATCGAGTATATCCATATTACAATGTCTCAGCTATTCGCCATTCCAAAGACTGTTTTTCTGCCAGAAGGCCCTGGCGTGTCATTCCTGGATCTTACCCCTGAGCTGAGAAACATGATCTACGAACATCTACTCGTACAACCTCGCCCAATCAACATCCCGCGGCTTGACAATACGAAAGGCGACTTCGCGACTGGCTCAGGGAAAACCTAAAGTTCGGGTACGGCATCTGTTCTCGGAATCCTGCAGACATGCCGCTCCGTCTATCACGAAGCAGTCGGTGTTTTTTACGCCCGGAACACATTCGCCTATAAGCTGTCCAAGAACAAATATCGCAAGTCCCATATGCTCAATCCGGCCCCATATGCGGCACATTTCGTGGCTAGTTGGTCTTTGCGCTCCCATTACATAAAAGACGGTACCATCAAATGGGGGGTCTTCTTGGTTTTGGGGAGTTTGATCTAGCACAGCTTGTGAAGATGTGCTGGGACAGAAGAGACCAGAAGTGTATCTTCCGCACAGTCCGCAACAATCAATTAAGTGGGTCCTAGAAGGTTCAGATTGGATTGATTGATTACCGCTTTAAGCCTAGTAGTTACCTATAGGAGTTTAAGCCCTACCTAGATAGGTAAGTGGGTCTAGGAGAGTGACCGGATTGAATTGATTGTTGCGGAGTCTAATCTTCCGTCTCATTTCCCCTTCCGATGCGGAACAAGATGAGCAGACTGGCGATCTAACAAAACTGCTAAACACGACTCTTCGACACCTCGTGACCGATACATTCGGTATTCGCCAATACCGCCGACAGATTCTTTCCATATCGATGGATCATGTTGATGGTGATCTTCCTTCGCAAGTCTGCATCAAGTTTGGAGATAGCCACCGACACTCCGATGCAAACTGGAAGCTGAACTTCCAGTCGAAAGATAAATGCAAAACATTTGAGAGATTTGGCAAGGACCAACGACCTGCTCTGGTCTGCCTCCCGCGGGGTGTCAAGAAACTGATCTTCAAAGAGGTCATGTGCTCGGACCCCGTCGATGTCAATGTCGACGATATGGATCTCACGAGCCCTGACCTATCTCTTCTATTCGTCTGCAAACAAATCACAAACATTGCGAAACCAATTCTCTGGTCTCAAAACGACTTCACATACCGAACAACCCTAGAGCCATCACCCGTTGACAGAGGGACCTCTCAACGCCGCCTCCAAGCAGTGCTCGGTACCAGAAAGACGATGGTACATTCATATTCCGACAGGTTTTGTCCAAATACCAGCCGTCATGTAAGCAGAGGCACACACCAAAACATCACCATCGAGCTCAATTTCGAGTATGATCGGGCAATGACACTGGCCGATGTTCGAATCGACGCAAAGCACCTGATCCGGATCGCATCGCACCTTGACGGCCGGAAATGCTTTGTTCGCTTCAAAGTCTCATCTACGGTGGACGGAGTTACAAAGACTGAGGAAAACACCGTCACCCTACGAGACATCCGAGCTCGTATCCTAGAGCTTCTGTCGCATGCGGTCAGCACCAACCGCCGGATAGCCAACGGCGATGTGTTCGAATTCGACATTGATGGAAACGGGAATGTCGGCCGTCTAAAGTACACCATAATGCTAGACTCAGAGTCAATACTTGGAACTGAGGAATACGTGCAACTCCCTTCAATAGAGGCTGTTGAGGCACATCACGGTAGAGAATATTGGGAAGGAAAGAATCGGCCCATGGTGGATGGAGACTCTTCCCCGCACTCTATTGGGAAGCTCAGTACCTATTTCCGATATCTTCAAGCGGTAGCGAAGAGGTCTTCAAACATGATGATGTCGTCCAGCGACGATTACTTTGCGAGGAAATGTTTCTTTGAACAAAATTGATAGACCTGTATCGAGCCGACAAAGTCGGTGACATTGGCACTGAGTAACCACTGCAGTTCCAAATTAGCTAGTATATTGAATGGATGAACGATAGCACGGCTGAGTACGTAAGATGAGTGAACAGTGATTGTCCATCAACTTCCCGCCCAATGCAACGCCGATACGTGTGAGCGCCACGCGAAATTTCGACACAACGTGCTTCCCGCGTTATATCTGAAATCGGGCATTCTCACGGAACAAGTCCTCAAACCGACAGAAGCCGTGACAGCCCTGGTAAAGCCACGAGAAAAGTTGAACGATGTTATGTCGGAAGGGTCCGAGGGCGGGACGCAGTCAGCCCAAAACGGTTTAGCCCTGTCTTTTAGCGCAGATGTCGTGCTCGCCCCATAGAAAATGGTGAACATCAAACGTCTCGATCGCCCTCAACCATCATCAACTAAGGAGAAAAAATTGGAGTCAAAGCTGCCAAGCATAGCACATCTTGTCCGAAGTCATAAATTATGTAGTCTCCACGCGGTCTGGGGGCTCTTCGCCTCTTCATCCTCTTTTCACTTTTCCCCACGCCGTCATGTCGTCCGCCTCCTTGTCTGGGTCTTCAGACTCCATCAAGGCTTCTGGACCGTTCTTCCGTTCCGTACCTTTCCAGATTCTGGTTGCATGTGGAGTTTCCTTCACGGCCCCGGGCATGTGGGATGCGCTCGGTGGACTAGGTGCTGGCGGAGCCGCTGAGCCCTACGCGGTGTCTGCCGCGAACGCTTTGGTATACGGGCTCTTCGCAGTTGTCTGTGTGGCTGCTGGAGCTATCAACAACAGGATTGGCCTAAAATATGGACTTGCATTGGGAGCAATCGGTTACCCATTGTACGGCGCAGGTCTATACACCAACAACGTCTCGGCAAACACCTGGTTCATGCTCTTCGGCAGTGCTCTCTGTGGCATCTCCGCTGGATTCTTCTGGGCTGCCGAAGCTGCGATTATCATCGGATACCCATCACCTGGAGATCGCGCATTTTACCTCGCTGTATGGCAGACAGCAAAGGCCCTTGGACCGATTGTTGGAGGTTCCATTAACCTAGGCCTGAACGCAAACCGGAAGACGACAGGATCGGTTTCCTCTACTACATACATCGTCTTCATCGTCATTATGTGCCTTGGACTCCCTGTCGCCCTGTGCCTGTCGCCTGCACACAAGGTCTGGAGAAAAGATGGCACGAGAATCGTCACTGAGCGTGCGGCAACCTGGCTCGGCGAGTTCAAGGCTGTCGGCAGGCTATTCGTCAGCCGACGCATCTTGCTTCTGCTCCCCGCCTTCTTTATCAGCTACTTCTACAACGGCTTCATGAGCACTTGGTTGACAACGTACTTTACCGTCCGAGCGCGCGCATTCTCCAGCTTCTTCACAAACTTCGCCGGCATCTTCTCCTCGTTCATCATCGCGTTTTTGCTCGACAACCCGAAAATCCACATCAAAGTCCGCGGTCGCATAGCATTCCTCTGCATCGTCACTCTCCTTATCGGTACATGGATTTGGGCGACAATCCTTCAGAAACAATTCTACGACGCATCGGAGGCCCCGATATTCGATTGGTTCAATGGCGGCTTTGGGAAGAGTTACGCGCTGGTCTTCTTTTGGCAATTTGGTGGCCAGGCTTTCCAGCAGTTTCTTTATTGGCTAGTAGGACAATACGCGACAGATCTGAGTAATCTCAGCCATCTCACTGGTATTCTGAGAGGTGTAGAGGCACTGGGCCAGACCGTTGCCTGGGCGTAAGTTCTTCTTCCACCACTTATTATGACGTAACGTCGACTAACAAATACCATAGTATGCAATCAGAAGGTGATGCAAACCACTTTGTCAGCATCGGTCTCAACTTTGGTATCACCGTATTATGCATCTTCCCTACTTGGATCGTCCTTTCAGAGCTGGAAGGAAGCCACGAAGTTCGCGTCACGGAGGAAATATCACCAAAGGACAGCGACACGGCTTGAATGGGGGAGCAGTCCCGTCGATTGTGTATAAATAAATAGATTATAGAATAATTACATCATCCATCTATAGATGATGCCTCCACTGAAGATCGGTGTTGACCCTACAATCGCTATCCACACTATGGCACCCCTGTCGACTCAATCCCAGTCATCGCCACCTTCTTCTGCATAGTTTGAAAAGTCACCAGCGTTGTGTTCACCCTCGGAATTGATTCCCAAAACGTCTGCGTAGCCGCCCAACCCATAATTTGGGATACAATCCATGATTGAACATCTCCGCGTACCTGTCTTCAGACTCTGGAAGCGCTGACGACACAGACGTTTGAAGCGCACGTAGACTGTAACACTCCAGTTAATCGATTCTTTGTCTCTAGCTAACCTTATCGTGATGTTGATGTTACAATCATGAATCATCCCGTGCTCTTTGTTAGCCTAGAAGCATTCAAGCATATATCCTTGAGAGAGTTATTGGGGTGGTGGTAGGGTTGAGTGTGCTATGAGGGGATTTGATGATTAAGGGAGGGCGGGGGGTATGTTGCTGGCTGAGTAGAAAGAATGATGAAGACTAAAGGGAAGTAGGGTCAAAATGCTCGGTAGAGCTGTCGTCAAACTATGTAATTGTCGGTTCCCCACTTTGATACGTCAAGTACGGGTACGGTTATACTGTGGAGAAGTGGACCACGACTGTTGTATTTGCAGATACGCGTAACGAATAGAACTCGGTGCAGTGTGTGACATATTTACGTCGTAGCTGTGTGCTTGTGATGAGACTTGCATGGAATAGTTGCGTTTCCTGGATATTTTCTGTGGGCGTTTGATGAATACATCATACGGGGAGGTCGAAGCGTAGGGTAAGCCTTCAAATTTGGGAAATGGTTGATTCATCAGGTTTTTACTTCTATCTAGAGCCGAATCCGTGTGTATCCTCCGCCAAGCATGCGCAAATTCAAGAGCCCTACATGTGATGTCCATATTCCAATCACTGCTCTGTCAATCCTGATGATTATGATGCAAACTTCGAAGTGCTTATGCATGAGTGTTCCTGCAATGCCACAACTCATACGCAACCTGCATGATGTTGGGGAGCTGGGAAGAACGTCCTCAAGGCTCAGGCAGTGCGAAGTAAGAGTCAGCCCAGTAAGCGGGGTGATCATGAAGGCAGACGTGCTGGAGGTAGCCAAGATAGCAACTCAGGGTACCATCGTAGCACGTATCTTCCGATGGCCTGTAAGCTTCATACCACCACCAGTCACTGAAGTCGATGTCGTCGTCTCCTGTACTGGTCCCATAGAGTTGACAAAGCTTCATTCGTTCATTCGGACCGTGATTCGGACGATCTAGGAACCACCAGTCCCTCATGAACTCCCAGGGATTGAACGAATTTCCGTCGAGCTCGACTTGGACTATCCTACCGTAGCCATTGACCCAGATGTTAGGGCACAGCTTGTATAGGTTTCCAGGAAATACTCGGTCGAATTCCGTCAGAGCGATGGTGGCAAACTCTCGGAATCTATCCAGTTCCATCGAGGCCTGAGACTGCGTAGTTCCATCGCCGTTTGCGATCCTGAACGTAATCGATGATGGATAATGACCACAGGCAGAAGTTACCCTTAGGAAGTCGAGCATATTTACCCGAAGATCGCCCAAGGTAGTGGCGTCTTGTAGCTGGAATTGTAGAAGGAACTCCAAGGGGTTATCTGTGCTGGTACCAGAGGAAGAGAATCTACCACCCATAGCCCAGGGACGACTGGTGATAGGTGCTATGCATAGGAACCGACGTAGTTTCTCGAAATGATCGAAATCAGTGGGCGAAATTTCGGATCTCATCTTGATGGAATGTTGGTTATGGAACCAGAACGCACGATGATACTGAGACCGAAGGGACGAGTTCAGCAAGGTCAAGATTGGTGAAGCACCCTCAGTTGTCTTCAAGTCCAGATCGAAACAGACTTGTGGGTATATGTCGTCACCACATCCTTCGGAATTGGGTTGATAAGCTGGGGACGTGAGACCGATTGGATACAAGATGCGTTCTCTCAAATGCTCCGGCAGCGTCATCAATTCGGGCTTGGTGGCCGGTATAAGAGCCAGAGTCCTACCATTGTCGAAGACAGAGAAAGCGCTTGTATAGGAGTTCTCTATGGCGAGTGGGTTTTTGTAGTCGTGATTGAACTGAACGAAGCCCTCCGAACCATCCCGAGCAACGCAGATGTTGTGGATCTGGCTTCCATACTTCTCCAGATCATGTGAGTCTTGCCGAAGTGTACACAAGATATTGCTGATAGCCATAGTGTTGAGTGCCGCTGATGACCCATATTTGGTGTCTTCGGGTATAACAAACTCGATCTCAAACTTTGCGTTTTTGTTTGCCCAGAGAGCCTTTACCAAGGCACCCATCTGAACGAAGTCGGACATTTCCTTGGTATCATAGCCTGACCAAGGATCATCGAACCTCGGATAAGTCCACTGCCAGTTGATCACGACTTTTCGTAGCATTGTTGCACTGGAGCCAAGTTTCTCTATCCAATCCGCCAAATCAGTCATTTGCGAACGCGGTCTCTGGTACCATGCTGGATAAACCCTAGGAATGATCCAGGTATTGCTGTGCAGTAGTAGAGATGTCGACTCGTGGTAGACCTGACGACAGGAGACGAATAGAGAGATACAATCCGCTTTTGAGAAGAAGAAGATGGGGGGCTGTGTTAGAGGAGTAGGACCACTAAAACCAGAGGTGGCTTCTTCATCACGAGGATGTATCTCGATCTTCTCATAGGTTCGGAATAGATGCTCATAGATCAGATTGCGAACCTCGGCGGGTAGAGTGAGGAAGTGCGGGGCTGCAGGGTTCGTCGGCGTCGACATGGTTTTGCGGCCAGACTTTGGACTCCGAATCGTGGCCATGATTGTGAGCGTTGGGCCGCCGCTGTAGAGTCGATTCGTATCCTCACTTATCCGTTTCTGGTCGCCTGAGGAGAGTGGCGTTGGGTAAGTTTTGAGTGGGTCGCAGGGACTTTATATATTGAGTGGTACGTATATAGTCTGTGTGCGGTGTAGTTCGTGCGCGATACATACGTAATTGACCGCTCGCTTACCGAGTCTAAGCTTCTCGCAACTATCACCTGGGTGGGTGACCGTGAATCACCTTCTCCCCGCAGGCAACAGGCAGCAGACCACGCGCTTGCCCTGTTGAGGCCCGTGCACATAATTTCACTGCCGTTTCGCGGAATTCCATTTGAACAAGCTTTTCTCAGGACTGCCGATAATAAATATATAGAAAGTATAGAGGTGTTGGGATAGCACCTTAGCTGCTTTTTTGAACTGCTGCTACAAACACCGCGTTGTGAAAATCTGCTACTGCTAAGCATTGATATCACTTACTTTGCATATATATAGAAAGTATAGAGTCTGAAAGTAGTGAGCTACTACTGCATCGGGCGGGGGAAAGCGCACTTTAAAAACTGTTGTCGAGTCAGTCACCTGATACGTTCACATCCTCTATACTGACACCAAACGCTCTTATTGCGGCTTAATTCTTGGTTTTTAGACATAAGCTTTGCGTATCAAGCCTATGAGCAACTTTTAATATTCGATCTTTATGATTGTCGAAGTGGAGTATTAATATAGTGAAGTGACAAACTGTGTAATTCACAGCGCTTTCAACAATCACATCTCCTACGAGAAATTTCTATCTCCTCTATAGTATCACAGTCCCCATTCCTGTGTACCAAATTGAAGAGCCACCGACGGTTTTGAGGAGAACTCTACTGAGCTTTTTTGACACTTGCCTCTAACAACACATTTGCCTCCTTATCTAGTATCCTAAGCTGGTATAACACGATACAGTAGCTCAGACGCTTGCATAATTTTGACTATTGCCATACCCATCCAACAAGAGCTTGATAGTCGTGATTGTGAACAAGTCTAAACAAGACAATCACAGAAGGAAGCGACAAAGTACTTGCATATCCCAAACCATAGATGAGCACTTATATCTCTGAGGCTCTGCACAGAAAATCTAGTTCTACACATATTACTTCTTATAAGCTATTATTATCAAGCAGTATATCTTCTTCTCTATCTCCACGAACACATCCAGGGATGGTGGCATCGCTGGCCGGGAACTGGGCTCCTGTAGGAACACATTGTTAATCAACAGGGACCCCAAGATCTCATTCGTCTTTCGAAGTAGAGCGACCTGGACTATGGGACAATTTAACTGAGGTATCCTCCAAAACTACCACATCTGAAAGCCTTGTTGACGCAGCGACTCAACGATCGAGCAGATGCCCAAGCCTGGGCGACCAGAGTCGTTGAGGAGTCAGTTGCATCGTATTCTTACAACACATTCTCAGAACACATTCTTATAATCCTACAACGCCCAGTATGGAAGAACCCACTGCCGAATTGGGCAGAACTCATACAAGTGACGCACCGCACCGCACGCTGTGGGTGAAACGTCATCACGCGCGGAGGGCTTGAATTGAACACGTGCTTCCAGCTCTCCCAGGCCCCATTTATACCCCCCTACCCCCCTACCAGTTGTCTCCCCACAAGCTCGAGCTCAACTGTGACCGAGACAAATAAACAAAACGCTCAACTGTTAGTACGCTCGACTGCGAACGAGACTACTGCTAACAAGATAACCGCTTAGCGCCTCTTCTACTACCCTCCACCTTCTCTCCCGAGAGTTAACTTGAACCACACACCACGCTCAACCAACCCGATCCTATCCCACCGAAACCTACCAACATGTCCCCAACACCCATCGAAATCCCGCGGACAAGAGCAGCCACGAACCACGCCGGCCCGTCCCGCTTCCTCGACCTCCCCGCCGAAATCCGCGCCATGATAATGGCCAACATCTTCGAATCCGCCGAGCCCATCAGGCTGGAGATGAAGTATACGTTGCCCGACATCCCTGACATCTTTGACGACGACCTGTCGGAGGACGAGGAGGACGACAGCAGACCCCCTCAGACGTTCATGGTACCAGTCCAGACTGAGAAGTACCGCGATATCTGCAAGGGCATAACCCTCTTCCTGACCTGCCGCCAGTTATATCACGAAGCCGCCACGATCTTGTATAGCAACAACACTTTTGTGTTCGTTAGGTCAACCGAGCTGAGCTTTAAAGCTGGTCACTACCTTTGCTACAAGGAGTGGTGCTTGGGACTAGGCTCTCAGATGAAGTGGCTAAGGAAAGTCCACATCGATGTATACGACAGTGTTTGGATGGCGATCTGGAGAAATGATGGGGCCAGGGGGATTCACTCTGGCGATTTGACAGCACTGGCGGAACTCATCTGTGACCCCTCGATGGCCAAGTGCGTGTTCGAGGTGGTAAAGCCACGCGAGATGGAGGAAGGTGCCGCCGCAGAGGCATTCACTTTTGACCCGGAGCTCATGAACAAAGTGTTCAAGGGTCTCTGCGCTGATAGGACGAACCTCAAGAGGTCAACGGGAGCTATTATCAAGCTCGACTTCTTCCCCTTTGCGAGGCATCCGTCTTACCAAGCAGGAGACGACATCGGGCTTCTCGAGATTGAGTGCGGCTCTCCCCACAACCAGTCCTCGCATCGTAGGGAGTGACTATTGACAATCGACTCCGACGGCGACATGATTCATCCTCGCCGTAACCTGTTTGCACGCCTGGACCACCTGCCTCAGCCGGTGATTGACCGTATTGGAGCGTTCATGGGATTACGCCAACAATAGTTGTTTTCTCGAGCATCACCGTCCCAGCGATCTTCCAGGTATTAAGGAGTGGCTTCTCACCATCAACTCCTACGGCAACATGGTCGATCTCTGCCAGAACATGTTTGCCCTCATAAACAGGCTACCTCAGCCGGTGATTGAACGGATTGGACACTTGATGGGATTGCACCAACAGTAGCCTTGTTCCTTTAAACCACTTCCCCATTCGTCTTACGCGGGCGTGCGAGGTAGCCTACGAGACTAGAGCCCTAAGTCACAAGGTCACGGGTAGTAACAACGAACAAGCCGCCATCCTGTCTCATTTCCTGCTCCAGCAACAGCCCGATATCGGCCATTCCGAATTGCTGCAAGGTGTCCGCATGGTGTACCAGCTCAGGGTAAGCAACTTGAAATCTCCTTTCGCCAAGATGTCCAGAATATCAAAGCACGTCCTGAAACAAGATCAAGAGTCGTACCGACAAAGAGGGTTCCGGAGAGTTCAAGACCGGCATATATTCAAGTATACGTGCGAAAAGACGATGCTTGTGCCAAGGTGGGAAGGTCGGGCTACGTGCCATGTCACACCTCTCAAGTCGGAAACAGGAAAGACTGTCGGAGCAATGAATCTTGTTACGTGATGGATGAGGGGACTTTGCAGTTGGAATGACTGATGGAAGCAAGTCAATGTTGTGAGGGCCTGTTACAGTTATGGGTCGGCAAGGCTGGTCACACCTTGGGAGATGTTATGCCTGGTGGAAGTCACTCGGAGTTTGATAGCGATATGAATATATATTGTTAACCAATTATTTTCTGGAAGAATAAATACCTAGAGTGACATCATGATCTAGCTAGATATGGAATTGTACAATGAATTGATTATAATAGATTAAAACACGTCCTCTGTGAATGGAAACCAACATTGTTAAGAGTGAATCGTTGACATGTAGTCAAAAAAGCGTCTAACGGTCGGCAAGTGCACCCCGCAATCACGGCAAGTCCGACCGAGCGATGACATCGTTACTCATCGGCTACTGCCCCCACTCCAAGCCTACTCCAACGCCCCGAAGCACAGCTCCAACATTGCAATTGTATATTGGTGTCTGCAATTTCTGCCTCGGAGTCATCTCCTTCCTTCACCTCTAGTCTCGGCAAACATGGCATCACTCCTCAAGAAATCACTAAAGCTTGCGCTCATCCAACTCGCCTCCGGGCCCGACAAGAGCGCAAACCTCCTCTCGGCGCGTCAAAAAGTTCTCGACGCCTCAAAAGCGGGCGCAAAACTCGTCGTCCTGCCCGAATGTTTCAACTCGCCCTACGGAACAAAGTACTTTGACAAGTACGCCGAAACACTCCTACCGTCTCCTCCCTCGGAATCGCAATCGCAGACATTCCATGCGCTTAGCAAATTGGCACAAGAGGCGGGCGTATATCTTGTTGGAGGCAGCATACCAGAAAGAGACGACAAGGACGAGAAGAAACTGTACAACACAAGTCTGACGTTTGCGCCGAGCGGCGAATTGCTGGCTACACATCGAAAGGTGCATCTATTCGACATTGACATAGCGGGGAAAATCACGTTTAGGGAGAGCGAGGTGCTGTCGCCGGGGAACAAGATCACATTGGTGGATTTACCAGAGTATGGAAAGATTGCAGTTGCGATATGTTACGACATAAGGTTTCCGGAACTTGGCATGATCGCGGCGAGAAAGGGCGCGTTTCTGCTGCTGTACCCGGGCGCTTTCAACCTCACGACTGGCGCATTACACTGGGAGTTGCTGGCGAGGGCTAGGGCGACGGATAACCAGGTCTACGTTGGACTGTGTAGTCCCGCAAGAGACATGCAGGCCGAGTACAATGCGTGGGGACACAGCATGGTAGTGGATCCGAACGCGGTGGTGGTGGAGCAGCTAGATGAGAAGGAGGGTGTGTTGTTGCAAGAGCTGGAGGCAGGCAAGATTGAGGAGACGAGGAAGGGCGTGCCGCTGTATGGACAGAGACGGTTCGATGTATATCCAGACGTCAGTGAGGGGGGGAGATTCGAGGAATAGTGTGACTAGGATGCGGCATTTAGATGCAATCATTCTAGATGACCCACCAAGTCACACACCGGTTTCGACCCCTTTGGCCTTCTACTTTCAGCCGTGAGCCAAGGTGCTAGTAGCTGTCCGCACAGAATTTGCGATTTGCGTCATCAGACGCGATGATTCAAAGTTAAATAGTCATGTTGGTATACGAAGAAAACGAAGCTTGACATGTGACAGAACAAAGTCGATTGATGCTATCCAAGGTGCTATCATGTGTCGCATTGCGTTGTGTGGGGGAGAAAGTGAGACATGTAGGTGCAGAGGTGTGCTTGGAAGAGCTTCATGGCGCGTTTAGGCCCTGTTCTAGGCGGAGGCGCCATCAGGACGGCCAAAGGTAGGGGAGGTGGCACCAAAGCCAGCCCAAGTCAAGGGCGGGCGAGGCCAAATTGGCCGGCACCATTCAGCGCAATGCACGCGACTGATAGGCGGTCAAGGCCGCACAAGGTGCACAACACGCTGCAGCGGGACTATGCACTGCACAGCAAGAGAGACGACTTACGCGTCTTGCTGTAGATGCAAAAACGCGTTGAAGAGTATATCAACAACAAAGGCGCGTCTGCATATGCAATGCGTATGATATACGAGGTTGCGCCGTGTGCTAGAGCAGCTCAGCGGGCGCAATCAACAGCAGCAGCAGCGGCGCGGAAAAGCAAATGATTCCAGGCGAGGCCAGGCAGCCATTTTGAAATTCGGGGGTATTTTTTGCTGGGACCGCTGAAAATGGGCTGGGGGAGGGGGGCGCCCAGAATCAGGGCACGTTTTAGCGAGCACCGCTGTCACTTAAGGCGCCTGCCCCGGCGACTGCCCGAAATTCAAAGCCCCGTTCCCCTCAAGCTCCCGCGCTCCTCTCCCTCACTCAACCACGCGCCCTCGTTGCTTGAATATCTAGCTATCACCCCTACATTTCATACTCAACATGGCGCCCAAGAAGAAGGAAGCCACTGGCGACCTTATGATCTCAACTGCCGAATACAAAAAGACGCGCGACTCGGTTAGTACTACTATTCTCATCATGTTCCTGCCATTGCTGCGACGCGCCTGCCCTGAGTTTATCGTGTCGCGAACCTGCGCAAAGCTCGTACCCAGGGCGCATTACCGCGCCACCACACAAACTGTTCGAAACTTTTGCTTTGTACCACGTTGATCGCCTCGTCTACGCGACTCATCAATGCCAAAACCCCCTTCTCAGCCTCAGGCAGGCGCCATCATGCCAGGGCGACCTAAACAGCGCAAGCGAATTATCGCTACTGAAGATGCGGCTGCCAATGACGCATCAATTGCTTACAGTTACAATCAGGTCATCGCCTCCCTCCATAACTTGCAGGCTGGCCTCATCCACGTGCAGCATGGCATTACCGATTTGTTGAGCAACTATCGCAAACACTGCGCCTCTGTCCTGGGTGATGAGGAGAGCGAAGCACCTTTCAGCGACTTCACCACAAATACCCAATCCCTCGCTGATGGTGTACGTGCTGCTGCCGACGAGCTAAAGCAAGCTATTGCTCCCGTCGAGAACGCGGCAGATGCGAACAAGGGCAAGAAACGCAAGCGCGAAAAGAAGGAAAAGGACCCCAATGCTCCTAAGAAGCCCCTCACTGCTGCCTTTTTGTATGCTCAGAGTGCGCGTCCCATTGTCAAGGCAGATCTCGAGGCCGCCCTTCCTTCTGGTGCTATCATGGAGAAGAACGCTGTCCAGACTGAAGTCAACAAGCGATGGGCCGAGCTCCCCGAGGAGAACAAGGAGGTGAGTCTGCTTGTATAACGCCAATATCAACATGTCACTAACATCCTCCAGCAATGGAAGGCGCAGTACCGCAAGAACCTGGAGGAGTACAAGATCAACCTCGCCGAGTACCTTGCCAAGAAGGGTATCAAGGACGCCGAGCTAGTCGAAGAAGACGACGAGGAGGACGAAGACGAAGCTGAGATTGAGGTCGGAACCGGTGCCGTTGACTCTGATGTCTCCGACGACGAGGAAGAGGCCCCTACCAAAGCCCCCTCTCCCCCAGCAAAGACACCTCGCAAGCGCCAGAAGACTGCCCCAGCTGTCAACGGCAACACCCTCCCCATCCACATTGCCCCAGCCACTGTCTCAACCCCCGTCCCGCTACCTACCTCGCGCTCCTCTGCCGCCGCAGCAGCAGCCCCCGTGACCGCCGTGACCGCCGTCGCCGAAACCCCCGCCAAGAAAGACAGCAAGAAGAAGAAGGAAAAATCCGTCCCTCAGCCCATTGCCCCCGCTCCTCCTGCCGTCATCGCCGAAGAACCCACTCCCGAGGAAGCCGGCGGCAAGAAGAAGAAGTCCTCCCGTAGCACTCGTAACACCGAGGCTGATGGCGACAAGGAGAATGCCGCACTGGAGAAGGCTGAGAAAGCTGAGAAAGCTGAGAAGGCCGAGAAGGCCGAGAAGGCGTCCAAGGAGAAGAAGCGCGATAGGACTAAGAGGAAGAGCGAGGTCGCTAACTAAGCTAAGCGCTGGTTTTGACAAGTCGTCTTTTTCTTCCATCATCTGCGTCTAGTTTCCGTTTTCTCTCCAGGCGTTTCTTAGCAGTCACGTGGTCTGGTTGGCGGGAGGATAACATTTCGATGTTTTTTTGTCCAAGTTTTTTTCTTTCCATTGGGAGATGGCGGACAACAGAAGGGGATGTCATGTACAGATGTTAACGTCCGCGTGAGTACACGTCCGCGTGGCTTTGCTGTGCTGTCTATGCATGATTCCACAGCGAAATCGGGCCCTAAAAGAGAATTTTGAAGATTGTTTGGTCATGGTTTAATTGGAATGGGATAGGGTGGGGGGGTCAAGTAGTGTATGTGTGTATTATGACATCCCCGGCTTCTTTGTCGAAAGTGTGGTTTTGTGCTGTGGTCTTGATATGTGTGTGTGTATGTGGTGTGGAAGCTTCTTGGACTGGATGGCTGGTTGAGATGGATACATGCCATGTCCAAAATGTAGGCGGGCTACAACATACAAAGACTATCCAAGGGAAATGAGTATGTATATCAAAAGTCATGTAGTCATGTCTCATTCATCATCATGTCTAACCCAAGGATACAAAACGCCAGTGACCATGCAAAAAGAGAAAGCAAGCAAGCTATCCACTGTAGTGCAGTATAATGGAGATGGTGGGAGAATATCCAACCCAAACTCCACTCGTTCTGTTCCTCTTGAATAGTAATATGCAAGTGCACATCCAACCCACATCGTCATATGAACAAAAAACAACCCACGATCCAACCCATCACACCCATCTAAGTCTCAATCTCCATCTCACATCTACAACCCCTCAACAGCATCCTCAAAAAACTCAACCTCCTCCTCTTCACTCTCCCCCTCCCCGCCTTCCACACCCCCACCACCCCCCTCCTTCAACGCACTCAAAACCCGCCTCCCAAACTCCATCCTCTCCCCCCTAACCCTCTCCAAATACTCCAGCGTCAACCGCGCACACTCCTCCTTGGCCTTCTTCTTCCCATACACGTTCCGCGCCTCGCCAATGGGTCCGGCGTGCGGACCGGCGTCTTTGAAGAAACAAGATACCGTGTGGAAGGTGGGGTCGGACGGGTGGGGTGTGAAGTGCCATTCGGGCGTTGGTAGGGCGAGCGTTGTGGCGAGGGTGGCGACGCGGTAGGCGTATGTTGGACCTGTGGTGCTGGTGCCGGTGCCAGGGGTAGACGTAGAGTTTGATGTAGTGGAGGGTGTGGATGAGGGACGTCGGGATGGTGAGAGTGCGGTACCGTCGGTGGTGGAGGCAGATTTCTTCTTCTTGATACCACCGACGGCAGTAAAGTCCTCGGGCCAGACGCCTTGGTCTTTGAAATACGTTATCGCTGTGCGAGCGGCGGCCTGGCGAGCGGACTTCTTGGACGAGAAGAGGGCGTCGAGGGAGCCGAAGGGGTGGGGGTGGTTTTCTAGCGTGAGGAGGCAGGCAAAGCGGGTGCCGGATGCATAGTCTGTGTATGTGGGTTGGGGGGCCGAGATTGAGCGTTGGAATTCTAAGGTGGTTGGGTGTTTTTAGTAAACCGGGTTTGGATATCTAACTAGGCTTTTGCGGGAATGGAAGAGGAGGAGGGGGAGATGAACGTACCTAACAACTGTCCAACCCAATTCTCACCCGGTTCTTCTTTTTCAACTGGTGTTGCAGCCGCTACAGCGTTACTCTTCTTCCTCTTGGTTCTACCGCCCGTGACACGTCCTTCTTTTTCCAACTCTTCTAGTACACCAAGCGCCTTCTCGCTCACTGCTTCCTTGGCCTCTTGCTTACTGTTAAACATCCTGTCCACGCTCAAATCCTGCAATTCCTCCATGCCCTTCAGTCCAGGAAAACTCACACTAACATTCCAGCCCTCGACGCTGCTTCCGCCGTACGTAAACGCAGGCTGAGGGATACCAAGTGCCTGGTACTTTTCATGGAGCAAGATTATGTTTTTGGACGAGCGGGCGCCGACGGCTATGGGAGTTAGAGGTGTGACGGTATCGGTGTTATTCTTGGATGCTGTTTTGGCGTATTTCTGCGCCTTGTGAATTCCCTCGTTCATTCGAAGGAAATCGTCAACCTTGAATACGTTGTCGCCTACACTCACCACACCGTCGATGCTCACAGCACCATCCGTGGATGACGCAGCGAACATTGGCGGTGCAGCTGAGGTATCAATCTGCATCTGCATGGTGGAAGATGTTTCAGCCTCGTTGTTGCGTCTCTCTCTTGCAGTCGACGTTTTTGCCGTATTCTCACTCAGGACGTTGTTAGTGACAGCCGGACTTGAAGAAGGGAAAGAAGAAGAAAGTGGAGCAGGCACAATTAAGTACCGCAAGAGATCTTCTCCTGGCGCCGGCATAATAACGAGGGACCGGGTGGGAAGCGGGCACGGCGCCCTCGTTTGCTAGCTTGTCGTAGCGGTAGCTTGCGAATAGAGTGGGGAATTGCCGTTTGGTGGGGTAGATGCATGTGATTGCGCGACGACGTGCCACGCGCAGGACACACAGGAAGCGGTAAGGTTGAGGTCTTCTCGCGAAGGCCTCAGTTGTCGGTGGTGTTTACTTGCAAACGAATGGGTTCCGTAAAAATACTGTAATTGGATAAGAAGACGATTGATGTTGGATGGTGAGGTGAAGTTCAAGTTCAGCCTTGAGGCTCCCGCTTACCGCGTCTCGTGGCACCCAAGCACGGCATGCCCGTTTGCTTGTCTCCACCTTCCGAGCTTGGCCTGCATACGTCCTTGCACCGACTTACATCTGCGTTTACCATAACCTCCGGCTCCGCTGGGTCATAGCTTCTCCAACATGCATGCGCCGTCTATTTTAGGCATTCCAACAGCTACGTCAACGCAAGAGCGCAAGGAGCGCCCTCTCGACCGTTGAGATGCACGTTATCACCGCCCTGTAGTAGCGTGCTCAGACCAACTATCTGCAGTACTCTATCAAGAGCAGCTGAGTGGCTTGCAACGTGTTTCACCTTGCAATTGACGTCAAGAGAACCGGGAAGACGGGTAAAGGACAGGTACATGGATACGAAGTAGCAACTCTCATAGATTAGGTTATCATTACATTACTGGTATCCCGTCTAACTAAGTGCCCTTGGCCAACATCGTCTAATCATCATACATGGAAAACGTACAGTCATTTCGTCATTAGCAGATCGTCCCCATGTCTAGTAGCTCCTACTTCTCTGGTCTCAATTAAATCCAACACTCCAAAACCTAGCCCGTGGGACTGTTCTTTCCGACAATCCACCTCGTTGATAGCCCCACCCCCTGTATCTCCTTCAAAGGGACTCTGTAGACCCTGTAAATCCCAGAGACCTTGATTGACGCTGGCATGGGCCTCATGAAGACCCTGCACGACCAAACCTTCTTCTTGGTTGACTTGCTGATATATGTCGTGGGCATGAATCACCTCATGGCCTTGTTTGGATTGCTCGTGATCGTCGTGTGTGAGATAAGGGTGATACTGTTCCGCGGCGTTTTCGAGATGCGAGATAAGATCTGCGTGATGCCAATTGAGCTTTGTTGAGTAGCAAGCCAAGTCAGTGGGGTCTTGCATATGACTGCTTGTATCAACAGCAACCAATTGTCCATGTTCACCAACAGCAAGTCCCATGTTGGCCAGTTCATCGTGTTCTAGACCAGCAAGCGCATGCAGGCTCTCGAGGCCTGTACTCTGGCTCGCAATGCCGAAACTGTCGTATGCTGATAGGTTGATGGCAGGCTCGAAAGCACCACTAATGGTGATGTGGCCACCGTCAAAGTCGAAATCATTGTGTGCATTAGAGGGCAACAAATCTTGCGTGTGTGAAAGCGCAAAGCTTTGTCGAGAGAATTCGGTTGCGGTAGTGGTCGCTGAAGCATCAACGTGTTCTAGATCCGGTTGCATGGAGGCGAGAATGTCGAGGGAGAGCGACGGAGGCGGGTGCTCCTGATGAGATTGCACTCCGTACGGGTGATCTGCATGGGGATGCGCAAAATCCAAGGGCAGCTGTGAAGCTTGCTGGTAGAGCGATATATCCGCCGTTGCGGGGGTAGGATCATCCAATATCTCCTCATGATCCCTCTCCATGACCTCAGTCTTGTACTCCATCTCTTGACACCACCTCTGCTCGATGGCCGGTTGACAGCGGGCGAGGCTGACCGAGCGCCACTTCATACTGCCCACCTCTGCAGAATTCCTAGTCTGCTGGAATCTCCACAGGATCGTGAAAAGACATTGAGCATCGCCTGTGCCAGGCATGATACCGTATATGTCTTGCGTTGCTGTCAGGCGTAGTAAGGAATCCCTTACAGACTTCTCGTCTTTGTGTCTTAGGTTCTGATACTTGGCTAGGCGCATTACCCAGAATGGTGATCCAAAAGCGATACGTAGATGGCCCGACGAGCCTCGAGGGTCTGGGTGATATTCGCAAGACGTGCGATGTTCCTTTTGCTCATGCTTTGTTGGATCGAGCTGTGGATTCGAAGCAATATCTCCACTGTCGTAAAAGCGAGTGGTACATTCAAGAGAAGCAAGCGCTGAAAGATTGACCTGCGAATGAAGATCGAACGTGATGGTAAGGTTAGCTTTTGGTCGTGCTTCAGTCATCACCTTGATAGATGAATCGCAAACCAGCACCTTCCGGTCATGCCTAGCCCAAGTCTCTGTTTCAGCTTGTAGAAAGTCGAACTCGGGATATTGACGGTGCCACGACTTGAAGTCTGCAATGTCCAAACTATCAAGTCTGCCGTTGGAGTGCATCTTTGTGAAACAATGCACAGGCTGATGCTCGCCATCTACTGTCATGGCAAACTCGGTCACAGTAAAAGGCGATGACGATTCGCTCCGCGCAGCTACGCCTAGAGAAAGGTCCGAGCCACCCAGATGCGGCCAAAGGTGCAGTGAGGACGTATCATGCTCATATTTGGTAACAGAATCCGTGCGCTGCGCATGTTGGCGGGCACGCAGGTGCGACGAATGATATACCTGAGAGGCGACTTCCCCGCGGCGGCGCTTCTTTGAGTCTTCTGGTAGAGAGATGTAGGCAAGGACTATTGCGCGGTTAGTCCACTTCGGGCAGTCCCTTGCCCAACCCTCACGAACAACAACACGAATAGCAACAGCAAAGCCACCACCATGCCTTCTAGAAGTAATCTGGAAGATAAGAAAGTCCCGATAAACTATACTCGGCGCTTATTGAAGAGCCGGAACTCGTAGCCAATGAAAGGGGTTGGGAAAGGATGTACGGAACGGGTACTGACCGAAGTTGAAGCCTTCCAGCTTTCCTTTGAGCACTTGCAAGTGACTAGATACCCGCTTGCGATCCCGACGGATGCCCGTGTCTCTGGAAATCGAGTTCTGGATCAGTTCGTTTCGTCCTCGCAGTTTGCCTTCGAACATGAGCTTTTTTCGCCCCATCGGGGGGCATCGAACCAGTGCTGCGTCGATTTTGATTAGTATACGTGTGAACCTAGTGAATGAATCCATTAAACAAGAAAACTTCATACTGTGTTGTAAGAGCGTGATATCTTACCTCTCCAAAATGCGTGCTCCAAGAAATCTGGCCACACGGTATTATCCTTCTTGTCCGGTTTCTCGCCCGCTGCTTCTTTTCTTGCTCGCTCCTTCTCCTCCGCCGCATCTCTTGCGATGACTTCGGCAGGACTAAGGACAGGTTGCTTCTCGCGGTACTTTTGATACTTGTCTGATCGCGCCAACATCCTGTATATCCGGTCGAGTTCATATCTGATATGTTTCTCCGACTTTTCAACACCAAAGCCGGCCAATCCAACGTGGTTTGCATGCACATTGCCGGTATAGTAGGCGCCTGCTGCGGTAGTTCGTTGTGCGTGTGCATTCTCTGTTGGGCTAGGACTGCCATGCTGCTTTAGCTGCAAAGAGGTAGTGCTGCCATAATACTCGTGGGACTGATTAACTGATCGCTCTTGTAGAACGACTCGCTGCTGTGATGAGGTGTCGGCCGTAGTAACTAAGAGGGGGACATCCTCCAACGGCACACACAAGGGTTGGTGTTGGACTTGCATTGCGGCTATGGCATGGGAGTAAGCAAATGGAATGATAAGGGTAAGAATGACGGCTGTCGCAGAATGTAACGAGTGTCAGGCAGTTGGAGCAATGAGCGACTGAGGGTGGTGATTGAGGAAGACGAGAATGTATCTGAGTATGTGGCGAGGTAAAGGTATGCAGATAGTTTGCAATGATATAAAGTGTGGTCCAGATGACCAGCCCTAGGCAGGAGGACTACATGACAGCCTGCACCGACTCTAGGGTGCGATACGACACCCGCTAACCTCGAAATGGCAGAGGGGTCAGTCAACGAGGTAACATGGCCATTACTATGAAATTAACAACACTTGCGTCGTGCCGTTGTTCATAGCCGCCATTTCGCTTGCCACCCAAGTAATTACACTCATCGCAATTCCATCACCTGCTGGAATGGTAAATATGATAAGTTAGCAGAGGGAACAAGGGCATCAAGTCGACCGCCTCCAATTCGACCGTCACCTGATTGGCCGTGTGCGAGGAGAGCCGCTAAGGATTGCTCAGATCAAGGATGGATGTCAGTGGTTGCGAACAACAAACTACGTCAGCCAGCGTGATCGACAAACGTCTTGTTCGTAACCGCCTTACTCCCCAGGTTTTGGAGTAATCTGAAACGCGGTGTGGTGGCCATGCCCATTGATTCACTCTGTAGATGTACCCTGTCGTGGCTTAGAAAACGGTGATCTAAATATAGAGTTCATGTGCGGCGGGGGCGAGTACGCTACTACTTTGAGCATACTGCGGCGAAGGGCGGCCTAGCTTCCGTAGTCGGAGAGCAAGGGGTGGTGTCAAGCTTGACAGTGTCGCGCGTGCAACACCTACCAGAACACGCTCGCGTTCACTCGTCTAGATCATCGGTGCCTGCAACGTTAAACTTTTTCCGACCACCTTCTGTCAGACGTTGGAGGGCGACCTTGTTGGCCTGTGCTCCCATCTTCTGTTGCATCTTCTCAAGCTCCTTCTCGGGGTCATCAGATTCAGCCTCTGCAAATGCAAGAACCAAACGACGGCCCAGCAAGTGAGTATTTTTCAATGCGTTCATCGCGTTGACGGCGTCGCGTTTCGTGGTGAACTCTGCGAAACCAAACCCACGTGAAGACGCATCAAACTTCTTAGGCACCCGAACAGACCGAAGCTGGCCGTAAGGGGTGAATAGAGCGCGAACATCCTTTTTCTGCGGCCTAGGTTAGCAGGAGCTATGTTAAAGTAACAAAGGGATCCTACGCTGGCTTCAAAGGGCAAGTTCTTGATGATGATTTTCGTGCTTGCCGCCTTCTTGGCTGCATCCTCGTTGCGACGCTCTTCAGCCGCATCGGCGCCCTTGTGGGATGCCTTTATCAACAGCTTATGCCCTTCAAGATCATGGCCGTCCATGGCTCGCAAAGCAGCAGTAGCAGTCTCGGGATTGTTGAACTCGACGAAACCGAAGCCCATCGATAGCACGCCACGTTTAGGGTCCATCTTCGTCTTAACGGTCGCGCTGCGGAATCCGGACAAAGGCTTGAACGCCTCGGTGAGACGCTCGGTAGTCGTGGAGAAGTTCAGGTTCCGCACATACAGAGTAGCGGTGTTTGTCGCTTCGGGCTCGGGAGCATCCACAAGCAGGTCGGTCGCAGTTGGTTTTACAACAGGCTGCTCTGAGAATGTAGTCTGTACAAAGTTGGTTGCTATACCTTCCTTGAACAGATCCTTGGGAGCCTTTTCCAGATACAAGATCGAATCCTTCATCTTCCGGTACGACAATGACATAAAGGCCGTCTTCGCTTGGGCGACGTTGGAAAACTCGACAATGGCCGTCATTCCCGTGGGTGGCATCAGAAACTTGGTCACAGTGCCGTGCTCCTCGAACAGCTTACGAAGCTCATCAGGCGTTACAGTGTGAGGAACGTTCTTCACGAGAATAGCAAGGTCACCTTTGGCGCTTCTTTGAAAGGCCTCCAGGTCAACGCCATGCTGGGCAAAGTAGGACTTTGTCTCTTGGATGATGTGTGTCTCAGCATGGGCTTGTCTGACTGCAGCATCTGCGGATGTGGGGTCGAGTAGTTCAGCCTTGCTGATGCCCATGCGTCCTGCAATGGTGGACATGACTGCATCGGCATTCAGGTAAAGCGAGTTCCAGTTGAAGGTAGCCTTTGCAGCATTCTGCTTCTTCCGGATCTCTTTCTGCTTCTTGAGAGGCAGTTTTGAGATCTCGTACTCATCGAGCTTGGTGTCTTTCTTTGCTTTTGCCGAGATGATGTGAAGGAGACGACCCTGGAAGATGGTATTGTCGTTGTCAAGGTATGCCTCGACAGCGTCGCTTGGGTTCGCGAACTGGACAAACGCAAAGCCCTTGCCTTTTCCATCGGCCTTTTTCAGTGGTACATGTACCTATACTAGTCAGCAACGGTCGTCAAATAGTCGCTGACATATACAAGAGGGTTTGCCACTATCAGATAAGAAAGACATCTACTAAAATACTTTCACAAGGTAACTTCAAATGCCGAAGCATCAGTTGTCCCTATCTTGACGTTCATCATTGCATGGGCGGAAGGAAGAGAGAGATGTTGACTTACTTCTTCAAGAGTACATGCTTTGAAAATTGCTGCCCGGATCTCGTCTTCGGGTTCCCCGTAATGGAGATTCCGCAGGTAGAGTCGGCCAGTCTCACGGATCTTGTCCTCTTCGTCTGGTGCAGCAACGACTGGGTGTTCTTCAGTGGGCTGTTCTGGCTCCGGCTGCGCCTCCACCACTTCTGGTAAAGCTTTTCTAGCTACAGGAGGCTGTGGTACCGACGCTTGAGGTGCTACGGCGCCGACTGAGGGTACTTCGTCGTCCTCCACCAGCTCCAAGACTCGGTTTGTTCTTGATCGTAGCCAGTCCACATCGGACACAGGACCCTGTTCTGCTGCAGGAGCCTCTTGTATATCTTCCATGGGCTCACCGCCGTCAATATCTTGAGCTTGGGGCTCTGGTGGAGGCTGTTCGGCGGGCTTGGGCTGTATTGGGACAGAGGCGGCGGGTTCTGGCGCAATCTTGGGCTTTTTCGAGATGACCTGATAGTCGTCGTCGCTTTCGTCCTCTGGCACAGCAACTTCGGGTACAGCCTCGTCGGCAGTGGCAATGGGCGCTTCGTTGAGCTGCTCATCGCCATTGGCCCACAAGCTCGTCTTGGAGGGCGGCTGATAGACCTCGAGAAACTCCTTCAACTTGGGATCCTGCTCAGCCTCGTCTCGCTTTCGCTTGAGGTCGTTCTCTTGCCGCGGCGGCCTGTACTCATCGTTGCTTGGCGCACTCTTCTCGAGCTTTAGCTGCCGTCGTGACTTTGGCAGTTCCTTGTCGGCGATCTGCGCACATTAGCCCCGCTGGTCACCATCACCGTCGCAAAGTACATACCGGGCGCGCAATCTCAGCGTAAATCTTGGTGAGCTTGATAAACGTCTTGTTGAAGTACTTGACCGCCTTTGCGGCGTCCTCGGGCGTTTTGTAGCCGACATAGCCTATGCGGCGGTGCGGGAAGAACTTGACGTCGGTAATGGGGAATTTGGCAAAGTGCTTGCGGACGTCATCTTCGCTGAATTTGGGCGGCAGACCGCGCACGAAGATTCGGGACGACTCCATGCTGTGCAATGAAGTTTGAGACCGGCTCGAATGTCTTGTCGGTCAAAAGTTCGCGTTCAGAAAAATTGTCCTGCTCGCAAATCCACACTAGTGGCGCTAGTGAGAGCTCGGGCCACGTATCTTAGGCCGCGCGCGAGCGCCTACCCAAACACCGACACAAGCAGCCTTACAACAAACATAGCCTCTCTCACAAGACACCGGCCGTATAAGACTGCGCCCGCTCCGTAAATCTAATTCCATAATCATTCCCCCGTGTCACACGAGAACTTCGTCAAAATGGCAAGCGAGAAGTCAGATGCCCACAAGCAGGAAGGTGAGACGCTTTGTTTATGCCGGTACTTTTGAAAGAGCACGAGCTAATAGGATATGCAGCCCAGATCAAGTCGGCCGACATGGTACAGCTCATGCAGTCACTTTTTATTACCGTTTCCTGACACGTGCAACAGAGCGAAGAGATGCAGCAAGAGGCTATTGAAGTCGGTGAGTGACCTTCGTTCCGCATGCGGCTGACGCAGGAGCTGACATCTCGTAGCAACAATGGCTATGGAGCAGTTCACTATTGAGAAGGTGGGTCCTTTATCCACCCGATCCGAGACCTTGTTAGGGTCTCAACTAACAATCGTCATATAGGACATCGCCCAGTACATCAAGAAAGAGGTAAGAAACATAATTCTTTTGCATCCAACGCGTGCGCTAACCTATGTGTAGTTTGACAGCCGAAAGGGCGCCACATGGCACTGCATCGTAGGCCGCAACTTTGGAAGCTTCGTCACTCATGGTATATGCGCCTTTCATCCAGTACATGGCCGACGGCAACTAACCCGACACCACCTGGGCAGAGACGAAACACTTCATCTACTTCTACCTCGGTCACTGCGCTATTCTGTTGTTCAAGACTCAGTAAGCGCATGCAAGTGATCAAGGCACCCTCGGCCTCTGCCATTCCCATGTTCCGTCATCGTCAAACTTTTGCCTCATGGGTGACGACGTTTGTTCCGTCTCAGGGTTCCAAGACGCCTAGTCGTCTAGGATTGGTTAGAAGTGAGGATCCATGTCGTCTTCGCAGTATGGGTGGCAATCTGCCAACAAGATTCCGGGGCTCTGTTGTTCAATGGCGTTTTATCAGGGCACCATGTTGAGGTCGCAGCTACCATCATAACGACTGTAACGAGTCTCCTTTGCACAAAACTGGCTTTGGAGGCTTTCAGGTACTATAATAAAGCGTTCTTGCTCATACTCTGGGAAGTGAATATGATGGGTCGTGAGGCGGTGATCAAGTGACTGCCAACAGCTGCGTGGCACAGCGTTGGTGGCGCCACAGGACGTGTCATGGCCGTGAGCTATCCCATAACTATAGCAAACTAATCTATAGGATCACAGATGCTCCATCGTGTTATCTTACTCCCAATCCCGCGCTTCCGCTGTCTTCCACCCAAAAGCCCGGTACAAAACGAACTATGCAGGCGCGTTTATCCCCAGGATCCGCGGGCCTAGCCGCTAGCCCCATGCAGACGCGGCCAAGTGTGGCTGATGGTCTGTGATGACGCAGCCTTTCCCTCGGCGCCAATGTCACCAACCGGAAGTAATTCAATCAACGGAACCGCACAGCCTTTAACCTGTCCTTTTACCACCTTACTCACTCTTACATCGACTCCGGCGACAGCACGCGACACAGATTCACGAGACGTTATATACCCAAGTACACGCGGACTAGCAAGGAGCTTCGTAAGGTACTTAGACACGCTTGGTCGAAACACGCGACATCACTCCACCGAAACACGAGCGCGAGATCTCCGGCACGAAAGCATCCTACATATCCACACGCACGGCGAAGACGATCGTCAGACGCATATCATATCCCATATACCACACTCGCGCACCCAACGCGCATAACAAGCAACCATGTTCTTCTTCTTCACATGCGGAACACACAGTACGTCCGGCACCTATACCGCAATACCCCTTACCCTTCACCAACCCACCACGGGTGAGAGGGGTAAAACCAGAGCCTCGATATAAATATAACCTCAGAGACCAATCTCGCTAACACAAACCCCACAGCCTTCACATCCAAGCTCTCCGGCGCAGAACACATAACAGTGCAATGTCAAAACTGCGGAAACTTTAGCGGACGGTATGTCTCCCCTATCCCTCTCCCACCATATCCCTATACCCCTCCTCCTACCACTCTCCCGCCTCCTCCTCCTCCTCCCTTACAATCCACTAACGTACCCCACAGAGTCATGAAACGCTGGGAATGGTTTACCTTCTGCTTCATCCCCGTCATCCCCTTCTCCATCAAACCCTACAAGGAAGTCGGCTGCCACATTTGCAACTTCTGGCAGGATATAAAGTACCGGCCGGATGTACAGTCGCAGATGGGTCAAGGCGGTGCGAGTCAGGGCGGTGCTGTTATGATGGCGGGCGGTAATGGCGCGCCTGGTGCTCCTGGTGGAGGCGGGGGTGGGTATGGACCGCCGCCGCAGGGGGTGCCGCAGTATAAGTGAGGGAAGAGAGTGAAGTAGGGGATGTGGATGTGGATACCCTAGGAAAGTGGCAGTGTTGATGGATCGTGGTTCTTTGGCATTTTTGGGACAATGAGGGTCTTCGAAGTTATGGGCAGCGAAAAAGAAACAGAGATACCACATACCTTTTTCCTTTACTTGTTACATTCTTTCAAATTTGATAATCAAGTTTAATGTGCATATACTACTTATTTACTACTTTCTTGCTATTCCATTTGGCCTCCTTTTAACAACAAAACCAGTCAATGTGCAATCCACACCCAAACTCGCCAATGCGTAGAATACCCATAGAAAAAGAAAACGCAAGACAACAATGACCTTCCGGTAACACATGTTTAGGCTCAACCTTCACGAGTGCTTAACCACCTCTCACACAAACAACAACCTCCTCCCTCTCCATCTCCGCCTCTCTCTCAAGTTCCCCATTACCCTGCTCCTCTTCATCCCCTTCAAACCCTGTCTCACTCCTCTCCCTCTTGCCCCTCCTCTCGTACTCGTCGCTTTCTACGTCGCCATCGATGTTGCATTCGAGTGCTGCATCTCTCTTTCTCTTACCCATAGGTTCAAAGTCGCTGGCCGTAGGATTAAGAGATTTATCCCCTCTCGGACTCAACCCGATATCGCCACTCGCTCGCTCGATAAGCCATGATCCGGTATTTTTGGTAGGTCCCCCGCGGCGCTCAGCGTTGGTTTTTTCGGGACCTCTATGCTGGAAGTGGGTGTTTGCTTTGGGTGTGGCAAGACCGCCGCCGAGCGCGAGGGCGAGTTCCGGACCCATGCCTTGGGTGTCGATACCCTGAGTTGGGTTTCCGGCACCGTCTCGATCTCGCTCGTCTTCTCGCTCGTGATCTTGATGCTGGTGCTTATGCAGTGTATTCGTATCCCTCGGATCGAAACAAGCTAGTTCCTCGCCCAGCGCGGAGAAGAGCTGGCGTTCTAAACGACCCGTACTATCGATGCTGGAGAGCGAGGGGCTGTTGTTTTTGTGCTTAGGACGAGGTGTTTTGAAGGGGGAAAGATGGCAAGGCATTGAAGTGGTGTTCGCTATGTTTGTAGAAGGGGCGTGCAGATGAGGGTCGATTGCGTCGACGTCTATGACTTCAACGAGAGACGGGATGTTGGATTTCTGGAACATGTTCTTGTGCATAGAGTTTTCGGTGCCAACTGCTGGAAGTAGACTCTGGTCGTGTCGTATACTGTGATCCGACAACTTTGGTAGATCAGCCGCCATGCCTTCCTTTCTACTCCGTATGTTCACCGTTGACGGTCCATGTGCAGAGCTAAACTTGCCAAGTTGAGTACTAGGTGGGGGAGGTGCTTCACTGCGATTAAATCGATGCATGCTCGATTGCGCAGACGAGGGGTCTCTCATGGTGATATCAGAGTTGGCAGTGTTGAATCTCTGGGAGAAAGGATTGGGAGTCGGAACGCGGTTTGCGATGGGGAATGGGGTTGGTAAACGCGCCTGAGAAGGCGAGCAATTCTCTTTGTGACTAGACATAGAGGGTTGGTACGTGGTGAGTGGTCGGTCCTTTAGCATGTCATTAGAGTACTGCTTGCTAGGTGATTGCTTAGTTGCGGCGTTCCTTAGGGCACTGTTGAAATCTGGGTATGTGGATTTGCGCGCCATGAGTGCTGAAGTAGACCGGTTGGTGGATCCATTGTTTCCCATCTTGGGTGGATAGTATGTATGGGCTGTTGGGGGACGGCTAGAGTGTCCATGGCGCTGATTGCCGGATCCGTTGGGTTGCTCATGACTCTGTTTCGGTGGGCTCAAGGCTTCGATAATTTGACCTAGTTGGTCCTCTCGGAGCGTCACTACGAGTTGTCTATCCTTCTCTCTCATCGATCGTTGTTCATCCCAGTCTGTGCCTAAGTTCTGGTCATATGGTGGTATGTTGCTCATCCATGGTGGAACTGGCCTTGATGAATGTGACGATGTGTACATGTAATCGTACATGGGCATGTCGTTTGTTGATCCCGATGTCGTCGGTTTTGTTGACCAAGTGTCCATGGTCATCTCGTCGCCATCACCAAGCGAGCTCAGGGAGTCATCCCAAGTTCTTGTGCGAAAACTGCCTCTGGAGCCCGCCTGTAGCTTAGCAAAGTTTGAGATTGGTGGTAAATGCGCGTTGAGTCGTCTGTTAGGCTCAAGGTTCTGTGGTCTGGCAAAGGCGGACTTGGAGGCATGCGACAATGGTGACTGCATATGTACATCTGCTGCAAGAGGACGAGACTTTGGGGTCCAAGAGATCGTGGGCGATTTTCGAGAGAGCAGTATATCTCGATCTTGTGCATTGGGAAAATACAATGGATTGCGTATTGGCCATGAGATACCAGCGCGTTCTAATATGTCTGCTATCCATTAGAATTCGATGACAAGTAAAACAAGTCTCCAAACCTTTTGGAGCATGTTGGAATGAGAAGCAAACGATGTCGTTAGTAATACCAAGATCCATGTCGCCAGGGCTGCTTGTTTTGCCGATCAGCTGCTCCGAAAGCATGATCTTTATCCTCCCGTTGGGGTCGCAAGCGTCCCATGAGTTCTGCATGAGGGTATGTTGATGAAAGGGCGGAAATTGAAGGCATAGTTTCTGACGACTTGTAGGATGTTCGGTAAAGGCGAGTGACCTCCTCTCGTGCGCTTCAGCATGGTCAGCGTTATTGTTTATCCGCTCTAAAGTGAATGCAACATACCAATTTCTTGAGGCCACTTAGAATGGATATCGAAGAAACCGCGGCTACGGTGATGAGCGTTTGCCCTCGGCCTTGCCAGTGAAGATAAGGCTTACAAAACTCTAGCCCCATCGACGATGACCTGAACTGAATACACAATCTTCTGGTTGGCCTTCCTCCGCGACTCGATGATCGGCGAGGCTTTTGTTGCTGTAGCCCATGAGTGTATTGAGACGCGAAATGGGGTCGATGGAGGAAGAGAGCTGATGTAGCAGGTCAAGGTTGGCAGTGGCCGTCCATCTATTAAACGTTAGTACGTCACACTTCAAAGTGAGGCTCACGGAATTGAGGAAGCTTAAATTCTTCTGGTGAAACGTAACAGGCCGTCTTGAATTCTTGTGTAGGCACATGAGACTCCTTCGGAAACAGGATTACATCCCAGTCGTCGTATCGCATGGCAGGCGTGCAATTGTTGCTGTTTAGATCCAAAAGTTCAACAAGCAATTTGCGGTTGCTCCGGCGAGGAGTTTGAGAGGATGACAGAGAATCATTGGATCGGACTGCCCGGCGGAGGGGCACGCCGAAGGGTTTGCGATGAAGAAGGTACGATTGCCTAGACCACGTCATAGCGCTTCAACATGATGGCTCCTGAACATGTTGAGCGATCTGTATCTGTAAGAGCCTCGCATGCACTTGCACTATCATCAACGAGGCACATGTTCGCATTTTGGTATGAATATAGTGATAGCATTGATATACAATCTCATGACGCGTAAATACCATGGTCGTTTTAGTGGCGACTCGTTCGCCTTTTCGATCTAACTTTTCCGTTACATTTTTAGAGGCTTGAAATCCAAACTCGAAATCCAAGACACGCACTGACTCTAGAGACGGGCGTCTTTGCCATGAGCCCTGTTGCGCGCTTAACACAGCAGAAAGAAACACCGTCGTCCAAACGCCTGTTCTGTGGCTCGCTATACCATATAGCCGCACTCGCCAGACGCCTTGCTAAAGAAGTGCACATTTGAGTACCGATATGGGCATCCGTGCAGTGTTACATGAAGTCAAACTCCCAAACTCCATGCTAAAGCGGCAAAGAGTACATGACATAGGTATAACCGACGTGGATTGTGAACCCACTACTGCTGGGAAGGCAGCTGCTGTGAAAAGGCCGAGTTGAAGTCGGAGGTTCCGTATCCAGGGTTGTTGGGGCCGGCTGACTGAGGTGACATGTAACCACTGTACGCGCCGGGACCAACAGGGTTACTGTTCTGTCCGCCCTTGGCTTGACCGCCGGCAGGGTTATTCGTCGTGGGCGAATATGGTGAAGGCATCCCAGACTGGGCGTTGAAGCTGCAACACAGACGTTAGCATCGTGTCCACCAATATACTAGAAAGGCTGGTAACCATGCTAACAAAACTCGGCAATGAAATGCTAGGATGCACTTGGAGCAGAAGTTCAGAATCAACAAAGCAAGCAAGCACGCAACAAAATCCACAAAAAAATAAAAGACTCGTGTGATTGGAATGTTAGCCAATCCTGCTTGTAGCAGCGCACATTCGTGAAAATAAGGCAGTTGACAGAAAGCAGCATCCGACCCATGCATGACTAGCTACATCCCAAATGCTCCCTAAAAGAGAGTAGCACGCTCAGAAAGAAAAATCCGAATGGCAGAAGTGATGGCCTGTTATACAAAGACTCCCTTCTATGGCCCTCCAGCAAGATTGGTGTCGTCAGAAGAAGTCGAGAACTTTTGGAGAACCGCCCGTTATAGTAAAGACCAAAAACGCTCGAAATTCATTATGCCGAGTCATGAAAGGGGTCATTGCAGTAAGCCAACGGAGAGGAATCATGGATGAAGCGCCATGCGAGCAATACAGAGGGAAAGAGTGCGCTTACTGTAGCAAAGTCAGTATTGCCAATGTGTGGAGGAGGGCTAGGTGACGCATGTTGACAAGCGCAGTGGCCTTGGCAGCATGTTGTGCCACCCGAGATTGATTAAGGACTTACCTTCATCATAGGACCGTAACCGCCAGCGCCGCCATAGGGGTGTTGTGGAGGCATGCCCATTCCGGGACCGAATGGCACAGGTGGAGGTGGTGCAGGGCGGTAAGGGGTGCCAGCCGGGCCCGAGTTGTTCTGTGAGCGACCCCAACTCAGACGGACGCGAGAGTTGCCGATCGGGTAGCCTTGCATCTGGTTGATGGCCATTTCTGCGGCATGGCGCTGCACAAACTGGACGAAGCCGCATCCCTTGCCTGGAGGAATCTTGACATAGGTAATCTCACCGAAGCCTTGGAAAAAGGATCGAAGCTCATCCTCGGTGACATAGCCAGAGAGACCGCCGACAAAGACGGTAGTGTTGTTGGGGTCAGTGAACTGGTTCATAGGCTGAGGAGTGCCGTAGTAGCCTCCCATTGGGGGAGCGTTCATCGAGTACATGCCCATGCCAGGGCCGCCGCCACCTTGGGGCATGCCCATTCCACCGGGACCGCCGGGGCCACCGCTCTTGTTCTTGGGAGTAGCGGTGGAGATGCGCATTGGGCGGTTGCCGCAGTAGACGCCCTGCATCTCGGTGAGAGCCTTCTGTTGGTCATCTTCGCTGGCGAAGCGAACGAATCCGTAGCCGCGCGACATGCCGCTGATGGGATCGGACATGATCTTGGCGGACTTGGTGGACGCGTACTTGTTCTGGAAAAGTTGGACGAGGACGAACTCGGTGACCTCCGGGCCCAAGTCTCCAACGAATACGCTAAATTCGGGGCCACGCTCGTCTCGGCTGTTCGACTCATTAGCCATGTGCTTGTATTTCGAGACTTGGGACACTTGCCTCCTGTCAGCAAGACCACCTCCAGAGGCCCAGTTCAGCTTGAAGGGGCGGTTCGAGTTGGGAATCAGTGAGCCATTGAGGCTGAGTGCCTTGGCTGCAGCATCAGGGCTAGCAAAGTCAACGAAGCAATATCCAGCATTGCTGCTATGCGGTAGTTAGCCTGGAGACTTTTTCCGTGTGAGATATCTATGCTTACCCGGAGAACTTGTCGCGGATCATCTTGACATTGACGGTCTCGCCCATGTTGTACCAAATGCTGCGCACAAAGTTCTCGTCGATCCACGGCTCGAGCTCACCCATCCTGTACCCTGTTAGAACGGGACTGGCCGCCAAAATTTTGCTCATCACCCCGCGCGCACGTGGGAAACTCACCAGAGAGTGGTCTTGCCGGCGCCCTGGCCTTGACCATCGCCGCCAGCGCTGCCGGGAGGGCCCATGTTTCCCTGTGGTGGGAAACCGTTACCAGAAGTGTCCATAGGCTGGCCCATGTCGCCGGGCTGCGGGGTCGGGTTGTTCATGTCACCCTGGGGCTGGCCCTGGGGGAACTGGTCGGGGTAACCGTTGTTAAAGGACATGATGAATAGATCAAGCGGGGTAAATCGGTTGAGCTAGTGGATGTGGGGAGTAAGTGTATGAACTCTAATTATGATGGCGATGTGTGAGAGTCGGTTATATTGCCTGCGCACGAAAAGCAATTGTTAGCGCCGGTGAATGGACGCACAATGGCTACAGGCAGCGGGTTGCAAGGTGAAGGTGGAGGGGAGATGTTGGGCTGCACTTACCGCGTGGAACCGAAAGTCGCTCAATCAGTGCGAGTAAAGCGTGCGGGCGTGGTGCAGATTGGCAAGAACAGGCGCAAAAGCTTTAGGACCACAGACGTAGCTGGGTACGGCCAAGGAGACAGTGGGAGAAAGCGGCAGCAGTAACTCCAGATGGCGGCCGAAGGAGTGGGTGGGTAGGTGAGGGGGATGGAGCGAGTGACCGTGAGGAAGCTCGAATGAAATCTAGGCGGGCGGTCAGTAAGGCGTCTCACAACGAGGCATCACATGCTGCGGTCACGACAGGAGGGCTCGCAACCAGCCGACAGCGAGCAGCGAGGGCGCGTCCGACGACGTGACGCTGCCCCTCAGCTGCATCGTGAGCAGCAGCGGACGCGAGTAAGTCGACGCAGACGGGAGACGGAAGACGTCAGCGGACGGTGCGCACACGGGCAACAAGCGGAGGGGACGCCAATTGAGTGTGCGCAATCAGCGTGTTGGTTATGCGTGTGCACGCCAGCTGTGCAGCGGGCGCGCGCCAAGGCGAGATGAAAATTGTGCGAAATGCATACGCACCGAAGAAGCTCAAGGACACCGGCGTAAGAGGAGGAAGCAGATGGAATCCAAACAACACCACGCAGTAAAGAGATCAGACAAGAGACCGCACTGAAGATGGCAGATTCGACTGTGTGGGAAGAAGGTTGGGTGGGGTAGAAGAGCAGAGAGCAGCAGATGATGTGCTGCCGAGAGAAACCGCTAAGTCTGCGCCGCTCGGTAGCGATGCGCAGTGCGGACCTGGGGACGGACGGCCCAAGGACTTTTTGGTTCAGGCTGGCACAAGCTTTGGAGATCGATACAAGGATTTGGACGCCCAAGCATGCGAATAGCGACTGTGCGAGTGGCCCGTCCTACCTCGCCGCAGATGCTCTACCAGGCTGCCACGCTGTTCACCCGCCGCCAGATTGGCCCGTCGCCTCTTTCGAGGGCGGTGCGGGATGCACGATCTGCTGTGCGTTATTATTAGAGGCCCACCCCTGGGCCGCTGCGATGACTTGCAGCTGGGAGCCGTCACTGGAGCTGGAGCGGGGTGCGACTTGCAACGTTGAACACCAAGAGCCATAAAATGTAGCAGATGGCCTACGGATATGCAGTAGTATGCGAGTCTTGCACTTGCACCCCCTCTACCCATTACTCTCCACTGCCTCGCATGCCCTTTGTTGGCCAGATCCAGATACACGTCCACATGTCCGCGCCGGTCGAATCAAATGCCTGTACCGTCAGCCAGACCTCCATCCTCTGCCAGTGGTCTTGGCCATGGTCATGGTCATAGCCATGCCGTCTGCAGCTAGAGCGCAACCATCACACGGCCAAGTTGGAAGAGACAGACCGTGGCCGTTGTGCTTCATTGGAGCTGTGAGCACTCTGGTTGATTCATTAGATTCGGATTGGCAGTGGCAACCATCACGTCCTTGGTCCTCTCGGCAATTATACTCCATTCGGCACGTGCCTAACATGATGGTTTCTGCTCAATTCACCTCCGTCCATTGCCTCCTACATATTCATACTACGTCTTTCACTTTTCATCGCGACTTCCCGTTGCATTGGACCTTCCATCGCGATTGCCCGTTGTACTGCATCTTGCGCATTGCTACTTCCCCATTAGTGTCGGCACTTCCTCTCTAGGCCGGAGTCACGAGACATCCATTTGCCGACCACATATGTGTCCGCGTCTGAAGTCATGATGCATCATCAACCACACAACGCAAAATTCAAGGCACAATCTTGATGCATGTTGACTACATATTCCATTTGGTTGAGCTCAACATCATATGCCTAAATAATGCATGTGTATGTATCCCCTCATGACTCATCCCGTGACGTCTCCAGGCCACGTTCCAAAGTCCCCTCTACAGTGCCTGGCCGGTCAACTTCTCCGGGATGCCCGCTGCAGCCTTGGCCTCCTCTTCACCCATCTGCTCACGACCCTCAGCAAAGACCTTGTCAAAGTCGTACTCGAACCACCTGATATCTGGGTTCAACCCAGCAAACTTCCACTCTCCATCAATCTTCTTGTACCAGTGCATGTTGAAGCTGTGCGCATGGCCCTTGACCGCAACCTTGGTGCGCGACTCATCTGTGTACCGCTGGTGCGGCACGCGCAGCTGGTGGTAACCGATCATCTCGTCGTCGGACGTCTTCTCCCACCGCGTACCGCCGATGAAGTGCTGCGTCTTGAGGAGAGGGTTGCCGAGCACGGCGGGGTCAGAGGCCATGGCTACAAACTCGTCTGCGGGCATGGACTCCCAGAGCTTGTTCAGGAAAGAGCGGTAGTCGATCCGAAGTGTTGGGGCAATGCATTTGCTAAGGCGCTCCCAGTCCTGTAATGGATGAGTGGGGTGCTGGCTACCGGTGAATCATCCCAACTGACCTTGCTATCGTAGCTGTCTGCCCATTCGTAGCATGCCGACTGGCAGCCCATGACATCTAGTTTCGTTATTCATTGATATTGAAAGTACATTGCGAAGACCTACCCTCGAAAGTAGGCTTAAATTTGGCGTTCTCAAACATGATGATTTTTGCCTGTTCAAATTGGTGACTTGATTGTGTTGGGAACTTGATATGAGGTTCAATACTGCGATTATATCTATTCACTACATACTTCCAAGCTCTTTATATCTGCTGTGTTCCATCTTCAAGTGGTGTCAACTGCGTCGTTTGCGATGAGGTAGCTTCGGATCCCCACCCCACGGCGGCCCGCCCGCCGTCCGCACATTCCAGCCTGCCGATGCCGTGCCAGCGGCCGCGACGGGGCCGGCCAGCTTCTTGGAACACCCTGAGTTCCTGGTGTTTCAGCGGGCTTGCACGGCAGGAAAAAGTGGTTGCATGGTGAGTTCTGCGCGGCAGTGGCTGCCGCGACCCCTCGCGGAGTCGCGGGAAAAGGAAAGCGCACGGACCAGGCAAACCCCAAGACCTGGTGCCTTCCGACGGCCCTCCATCACTTCACATTTTTTAACGTTCGCAATCAGCTTTTGTATTGTTTGGCCTGGGGGCTGTGAATTAAATTTCTAGCAAACAAATATGTCCAGCAAATCGTCTCTTTCACACAAGAGTGCTCCGCCCCTTCTCTTCCCGTTGCGGTCCTACCGTGACGCCTCGCAAATTACTCCGCTTTGATCGGTATTAATTTGTCTTCGTCGGTACGAGATGATTGGGTCGTGACGCACTGGTTTCCAGCTCCAAGGTGTGCTGTGGTGATAGCGTACGAGCTGAGGGAATCCAGTATGCAGTCATGCTGCGCCCCAACAAGTCACCCCTCAGCCCTCAAGCTTCTAAGAGACAAATCTGTTGCCGTATTTGAAATTTGGTTGAAGCCTACCGTTGGCAGTTCCATCCGCCATCTTGTCAAATTCCTCATTTGTATTCTTCAACCTTTCGAACGCCCTCCTGTCTTGATCGCCCACTGTGCAGTATATATAGCTATGCTATGGCGAGACCGTTTCACGGAACCAGACTGGACGGACTGGGATGGAAGCGTCTTGGAAACCTGGGCCCCACCAGCCTGGTGGAGCGTGAACGAGGACATCAAGACTCTTGAAGATCATGAGAAAATCAGGGCCGCGTACGCCATCGCAGAAAACTGCGCCGACTGCGCCGACTTACGTGTTTCAAAATTCTACATGAGATTCAGACTTCAGCTGGTAGTATTATCTGCTGAAGATGGCTGTGCTGGTTGTTTGTTACTTCTCAGCATCCTACACACATGCGGCTCGATAGAGCGTCTGTCACACTGGAGTTCATACGGGCACATCCCCTTGGAGTGTACAATCAACTTCTCAGAGATGATAATGATGGACAGCAGGGAGAGTTCTTTTGAAGTATACGCGCTGCCGAGTATGTCCGGTATGTATAATTGTGCCACTGGGGTGCCATAAAACACTTGACAGCGTGGGTATAGGCGTGTTTGGCGACTACAGTGGCCTTTGCGCACCAGTATGTCGAGTGTTTCATGTCATCCGGCCGATGCCATGATTGATGTATACTGACTCATTCATGCAGCTCAGAAGCATCACTGGCACATCCCAATGTTTCCTAAAGATCGGGAGAATTTTCACGATACAGGATCAGATCTTTCCCTCAAACGTGCCCGGGCTTGGCTACAGGGATGCAAAAATAAGCACGCGTCCTGCAAAAACACAGAATCAGTTCTGCCGACTCGAGTAGTTCATATCAGAGGCCCACAAGATGTAAGGCTTTACCAGTCCGAGCGCGAAATCGAGAAGTACGTTTGTCTCAGTCATTGCTGGGGCAAGAACCCAATCATCGAAACCAGAACCACAACTCAGGAAAATTACAAAAAAATAATCCCGTGGGAGGAGCTATCTCTGACATTTCAACAAGCGATCTCGTTCGCTTTCCGGCTTGGATACCGATATATTTGGATCGATTCGCTCTGTATTATCCAAGATGATGAGCAAGATTGGCTACGTGAAGCGAGCAGGATGTCACAGATTTATGCCGGTGCAGATCTCACGATTGCTGCGACAGCGTCGAGTGATGGGTCTGGCGGATGCTTTCGTCGACATGAACGACCCGCCCTTACCCACGTTTCTTACCCGGCTGCGGACGGATCAGAAATGAGACTCGGTGTCCGACCCGGCGTTAGAAATACGAACTGGCACCATGCCCGCCTACCATTACTTGGTCGCGCTTGGGTGTCGCAAGAACGCCTTCTCTCTCACAGAGTCCTTCATTTTTTGGAGGAAGAGCTCTTATGGGAATGTAAAAACGGGACTATTTTCGAAATGTTTACACAAGGGAGTAAAGTAACCAATGGTGATAACAGATATAATACAAGTTACTTCACGCGTATTTTGTCTTGGGATAAGATGGAAATAGCGCATAGATGGGAGGAGATCGTCCACCAGTATTCGGGGCAGCAGTTGACCAAAGAAAAAGATATATTCCCGGCGTTACAAGGGATCAGCAAGCATATGTCCGAGCATGTCGGGTCGCGCTATCTGGCTGGGCTATGGGAGATCAACATCATCCATGGCTTATTATGGCACAATGAGTCGAATAAGAAAGTAAGATGGAAGCCGAAAAAGCTCAGTGTTACTTTCGTCAAATGGTTTACTCGACAGTTCTTCAGCTTTGTACGCCAAGAGTGGATACAATGGAACTATGGACGAGATGGGAAATCTCCAAACACACAAAAGAAACCCATCTCCAATACCTCGAAGTCGAAGAACAGACCCCAGAGATGGCGCGCTCCATCATGGTCTTGGGCATCTACGTTGGGCTCTATAACATGGCATGGTATAACATGGGACAGTTTTACATTCATCCCGCACGCCTCATATATCTCGATCTCGACTCAAATCGAACCGGTAGACTCAGATGAGTTTGGAGCGCTGAAATCCGCCAAGATCACCTTACGAGGGCGATGCTTTAACGAAACAGAGGAAGGTGTCTTTTGTACAACTCTCAACAAACAAACTGGAAATGCCACTTATCCAAATCGCTCAGGTTGGATGAAATACGCTGGCAGGTTTGCTCAAGACTGCGAAGATTTCGATGGCATGCGACCGCATAGTTCACCTCTGGTTCCAGGCCAGCGGGCAAAAACAGTTCTTATGGGCGAATTGGATTTGACTTTTCAGTTCCTAATACTACGGCCAGTACCTGATGCACAGAATACGTACGAACGTTTCGCTTATATGGATCTGGACAGCAGACTTTCCAACAAGCAAGTAAAGCAAGTCACCGCTCTAAACTTGACTTGCTTGGTTCAAACATAGGCTTTACTTGACTTGCTTGGGGTGATTTTTTTACTTGCTTGACTTGCTTGTATTACTTGCAAGTACTTGGATTACTTGACTACTACAAAGAGATTAAGCTACATACAAATTACCAAAACTCAGTGTTCCACTCTAGTATGTTGTAATCTCCTACAAGCTGCTCATCTGAAAGCTTAGCCTCGCTACAGTTGTACGGTTTATAACCAGCTCGCACCCATGACCTTACTAATTGAAGAGCTGCGAGTAGCTCACTGCCCAGAGCACGTCGTTTAGGTTCAAGAAGGTCGCCAAGCTCACTGAAGAGGCGCTCACAGTCGCTGCTTGATGCTGGGATAGTCATGATATCGATTGCAAACTGCGCTAAATGCGGGTATTTCGGCAGTAGTTGTATCCAGTATTAGACAGGATTTCCATCTGCGTTGTACTGCTCCTGCGTCCACTGCGGCTCTTGTGTTTTCCAGCGCTCAAACTCGTCAAGTGGAGCCTCTCGGTCATTGTTGCGGCCAGACTCCGCAACAATCAATCAGATCGGCATGATTGATTCCTATCTAGGTTAAAGGCTGCCTAATGAAGTAATTCTTTAACCTATATAGGAATCAATCATGTCGATCGATTGATTGTTGCGGAGTCTGGTTGCGGCTAAGTATAGCAATAATTGCCTCGTCTATGTTGTTGCTACTCGGCGCAGTTGTATACCGCTGGCGTGCTCGTTGAGGTTTGTATGCCGCCCAAAGCTGTTGGAACGACGCGTTGGCACTAGTAAGCCAATCAGCTTTGTCTGCCCACGCCACATCGCAGTAGTTCTTGTAGTACGGGTGTAGGCAAACAGCGGCGTAGTAAGCGGGCGAGTCGTCGAGCTTGTTGTAGTAGTCGTTGGCTTTGCTCCACGCGGCGCGGAGGTTGACGTTGAGGTGATCCTCTAGAGCCTCGGCATGAGCGTTGAAGTCGACGTGCTCGAACGGGCGCGCCCGGGCCTCAAGCTTGCTGAGTACGTACTCAAAAACGGGTATAACCTCATAGATTGCGCCGTATTTGCCATCCTTAGAGCGTCCCTCGAGGCGTTTTGTGGCGTACTTGAGCGGCTCTAAGCAGTCCTAGTACTCTGCAATCACCGCCCAGTCAGCAGCTCGGAGCCCAGTTGATCTCATCCAGTTTGGGGCGTCGGGCCGCTTATTATTCCGCTGCGCAGCGTGCGCATCTTCAAGGATAACCCTATTGATATGATGCTCAGCGTACAAGTTATACGCGGCTTGAAGCTTGGTAGCGCGCTCAAAAGCAGCATAGTATGAGTTCCAGCGAGTGACGACAGGCTTGACTGGCTCGAGTACTTTGAGACGCCCTTCAGCAGGCAGGTTGTTGTTGGCAAGGCGCTGGTAGCCACGAAAAAGCTCGTACTGTTGCGGCGTTTTGATATAGTTGATGACGTCAACTAGCACTCCAATAGGGCCATCTTTCCGCCACTCTCGCATATACTGCTCCTCGGTATTGTACTGCTCTTGAGTGTTGCCGTAGGCGTCTTTGTTGGTGCCAAATATAATAGCCTGGCCGATGAGGTTAAGCGTGTGACAACTGCAGCGGAGGCGCCGGTGAGCGGACTCAAATTCGTACTCGCGCGCGAGCGCGGCGATCGCAGTGTCGTTGTTGGTAGCGTTGTCGAATACAAAATAGCCTAATCGGTCGCTTGTTATTCCGTATGCTGAGAGCGTCGTCGAGATAGCTTTGGCAATAGCCTCACCGGTGTGGGCGCCAGCGAGCTCAGGCAGATCGATTGGTAAGTCTCGTATTATTCCAGCTGCGTCGGCAAAGTGAGCGACTACTCCAAAGAAGCCACGTTTACCACCCTTTGTTGTCCAGCCATCAAAGCTTACGTGTATTTTGCTTACTGAGCCTGACAGGGTGTCGATAACTTGCGGTCGTATAGACCGGAACAACCTCATCACAAAGGTAGAAACGCTGGTATTACTTACCCACAACGCTGCCTCTGCCTCTGGGTTGGCAAATCTCATCATCTCTCTAAAATCAGGCGTCGTAAGTTCGCTGAGCGGGTGGTTTCGGTTAACAAGCCACATGACAGTGGCTGTTCGAAAGCCCTCTACGTCGAAGTTTCCAAACGCGTTAGCAGTGTTTTGTTGTACGTCTAAACCAGCGTCAAAAGCTTGCCGCAACGACAGCTGGCCTCGAGCTCTCTGCGCTAACTTTGGGCCATCTTTCGTAAGGTTGTGGCCAGGCTTTGGTTGGCTGAGATGGGTGGCTGCTGAGGTTGTAGCCTGAGTAATGTTAAACAAACCACCACGGCCAGCGTCGATAGTTTTGTGTACATGGCAGTACTTGCACACAAACCAGATTCGAGATGTAGCATGGCGCTCAACAACGCGGTAGCCATACTGAAAGATCCAACTTTTTGGGCGCTTAGAACGCGCCAATGGCTTGATAAAATCAGGTAAACGTGCCCAGTCAATGCCGTCAAAGTTCTCAACTAGTGCGCTGTTTGTCTCATCCTGACCACCCTCTCCAGCCTCAGTTGTAGCCACCGTGCCAGCTCGGCTGCCCTCGGTGGGCGCGACAATCTCAGCCTCCGCCTGCGACTCTAAGAACTGCAACTCGAAGGTAGGTATTGGCGGCGAGGCGTTAGCCTGGCTTGCGGCAGCTAGGGTTTTGCGAGGTGATCGACGCTGAGGTCTAGGCTTAGATGCAGGCTTAGATGCAGGCTCAGGTGAAGCCTCAGGAGTTGAGGCGACGTTGTTGGTGGCAGCGGCTACTTTCGTACGTTTGCTCCGAGCAGAAGTTTGTGGTAGGCGACGTTTGGCCATATTGGGGGTATCAGGGCAGTATAAATCACTGGAAAACGCGTTGCTATAGGGGATACTGCATTGCGATAGGCTTCTAGACAGGCGTACGTCGAGATTGGAGCAATGCGCTAGACTAAGGCTAACGTTATTTGATAGCCGCTTAGCCTGTTTGGGACTCAACCGAGGCAACTGCAACACTTCAAAACCATCGCGACATCTACCGTACAGCAGTTTTAGCACCCTCATCACAGTAACGCTAAAACAACCAAGTAAACCAAGTAAGCCAAGCAAGCAAAGTATCTTGACTTGACTTGCTTGCTTAGCTGCCCAGCTCTTACTTGACTTGCTTGCTTGGTTTAAACCAAGCAAGTCAAGCAAGTAATCCAAGTCAACTTGCTTTTTGGAAAGTCTGGCGAGGTCCTATTTGGAGATCTACGATCTTCGATTGAAAATTCCCACTCAATGACTACCT